CTTATAGAAAAAGGGAAATAGTTAAAAAAAAAAAAAGAATCAGATATGGAACAGGCAGCTTTATTCTCAAACTAAAAAAGGAAATGCTAAGTGATAATCACACAATAATAAGACTAGAATCCAGTAATTTATCACAATCAAATACAATAGCAAGCTTATATTCAGATTTTGCAGTGCTGCTAATTACCTCAGAACATTTCACCTTCACAAGGCACAAGACAATTTAATACTAAGTGGAATTTTCTTTCTAATTTTCAGTCTCTCTGTCTCTGTCTCTCTCTGATGTCTCTCTCTCTGTCTCTGTCTCTCTCTTTTTTCTGTCTCTCCTCCCCTCCCCATGAAAACGATTCCCTTGGCCCCAGCTCATTCCTTCTGCCGTAATCCTAATCACTCTGGTATAAGCTCTTACTTCTATTACCTCTAGTTTCTTACAATATTCTCAAGGTCAGTGCTAAAGGAAAGAAATACAAAAAAGAGTCAAAGGAAATCTAGAGGCCCTAGCAGAATTCTAGCTAGTTGAGTCCATGCTAGACTCTCCATATGGGAAGCCCCCCACCAACTTTCTAAGAGTCCTCTGGAGAAAATCCCTCCAATAATTATAATGATAATAATAATGATAGCTAACATTTATATAGTACTTACTACATGTTAGGCCCTCTTCTAAGCACTTTACAAATATTATCTCATTTGATCCTTACAACAACCCTGGGAGGTGGGTACTATTATTACCCGCATTTTACAGATGAGGAAACTGAAGCAAACAGAAGTTATTGTCCAGGGTCACACAGCTAGTAAGTATCTGAAGCTGGACTTGAACTAAGGTCTTCCTGACTCCTAGTCCTGCATTCAATTCACTGTGCCCCCTAGTTACCCTGCAAATGCAAAGAGTCCTAAAATTATGCCAAATTCCCTACATCAAGTAGAATGGCTAGCTAGATTGCCCTTGGCTGAAGATACAAACACTCGAAACATGCACAAATTTTTGTCCTTTCCCTGCCATCATCCTTTTCCCACTGTCCAATTCTGGTAGAAGCCTGACTTTCAAACAGCTGAAGAAAGCTATGGAATTGGAATCTGTTAGAACATCCATTGGTTCCTCACCCTACCTCTGCTTCACAGGGAAAATTGCTATTTGCAGTAAGGTTGCTTTTAGCTGTAATCTCGGGTTTCCCAGAAGAAGGAAAGTAAAAATGCTTTTCCATGCATCAGATAATAGGACAGGTTGCTGTCTTCCCACAGAGAAAGCAGTGATGAGCATAAAGGAATTACAATGTGCATTAAAAGAATAACTTCAATAGGATTTGGAAACTCAACTTGTAGCCAGCTTGTAATTACCTGCCAGGAGGCAGAGAGCAAGTCTGCGTATATAATTCAGTTTGACAATTCTTCTTATTAGCTATTCCACATTTTTCATGAACAGGTTCAATCAAGCACTGTGTGTATGTGTATATATATTTATATATGTATATACATATATATTTATATATGTATATACATATATAGTATGTATACACACACATCTTCATATATATATGCACACATATATATACACACACACATATACATACAGATCTCCAAGGCAGATTTTTTTCCAGTGGCTCCTCTTTCTCAAATGTCAGCTCTTCCTTTTGTTCCAGCCCACTCTTGCTGCTGCTGCCACCACAACTGACCACTTCAGTAGACATTACAGCCACAGCTTTAATGGCCTACCAGGAACTCATGACCTTCTGGAACTTACAAGGTCACCTGGGCTCATCCACCTTGAGGTTGCTGCTCAGTCACCTAGTGACTTGGGAAGATATACAACTTCCACTATTCCCTTACTCTACTCTCCCACGAAACTGAAGTGATTATGATTTGGAGCAATAAAAAGAAAAGAAACATATTTTTTGGAGGGGGTGAGGTCATGGGTTTGAGCTTCTCCCCATTGTTTTTTTTTTGTTGTTTTTTTTTGTTTGGGGTTTTTTTTTGTTTTTGTTTTTGTTTTTTGGCTAGGCAATGGGGTTAAGTGACTTGCCCAGGGTCACACAGCTAGCAAGTGTTATGTGTCTGAGGTCAAATTTGAACTCAGGTCTTCCTGAATCCAGGGTGGGTGCTCTATCTACTGCGCCACCTAGCTGCCCTTTCCATTGGTTTTTAAGCAGAACTGCGGGTATACAGATAAGTCTTGATTAGTACAAATAATGAATTCCCTAAAGTTGTCCCATGAATTCACACTATTTGAACTTATAATTATGTAAAATATGGTAGTTGGTTCCAGCTCAATTCAAACATGTAGTGCAAATCCAGATAATGTGAGTAACTTATAAGATTCATTATTTGCATTAATTAGAACCTAGCTAAGTTCTGGCTTGAGAACCAATGGGAAGAGTTCATGTATGTAAACTCAATTCTATAAAGACAGAATCTATATAGACTCAAAAGCAGATTGGGAAAAGGGGAAAATTACACATATGTGTCCTATATAAAGGAAATCCAATGAGAAACTTCCTAACACATGGCTTTATTAGATTGGGCATCCAAAGAACTGGGTTCAAAACAAGCCTCTCTTATTTATTAGGTATGTCCAACGCCATGAAATGGAAACAATGTACTTCAATTGCCTATTTCACAGGATTTTTGCAAAAATGGAGATAAAATATGTAAAGCGCTAGATGAACCACAAGATACTAGGTACGTGGAAGCTATTAGTATCTCCAATAATAATCGTAATAAAATTGTCCATTTTATCTAGTTTTTATCTAGTCTATTTTCATCTATCCTCATTAAAAACTCATGAAAATATTTTTCAACTTCCACAAATTTCATACTAGGTTATACTAGGTTTCAGCCAAACATTTGTCATTAAGTTACAAGGTTTTAATTAATGATTTGCCTCTATGTTTGAATTATTAACAAACTTAATTTATTAATTTATTATTCCCTATAGATATCAGGTAGGGTTTTTATAACATACACATTGGTCCTCTCCCCAATAAGCATTACATATATATTAGCAAATAATTATACAATTATATAATAATTTTCTGCCCACAAATTATACACCGTATAATACATATATAATGATGGAGTCTGTTACTTGCTAAATAGGATTTCTAAGTAGCCAAGCCATGGCCCAAATGTAGTCAGAGTACTAGATCATGGTGCTAGATGGTTGGAAATGTTACCTATATGTACATCATATGCCATTTAGAGACATCATTGAAGTTCTGCAGGATATCAGGTATGGCAGACAGAATGGAGAGAGTCTATCCCTTGAAGAAATCTTGACAGGTCAAGGCACAAGCACAACAAACAACATATGGATTTACACACTGGGCCACAAACAGCCCAACACTGAGACCAAAGGACCCACAGGATGAGCTTACATTTTGGTTATTTGGACAGAAAAAAAAAAGCAGCAGCACCTGTTCATTGGGGTGGGTATGCATCATTTCTATATTCTCAAGTCCAGCGATTCTAGAGTTGAATGAACAGTATGAATGCTAGCAGTGGAGAGAATACATTTCACATCAGGAATGGAAACTAGCAGAGGAGAAAAAGGGGGAGAAAGCCAAGGCCAGTTAGATAATAGCCTGTTCTATTATCCTTTGCAGGATTGTCCTTATGCTTTAGGGGGTGAGCTAACTTCAATAAACACAATTTTCCTATCTCCTGCTCTACGTTATATGTACCTTAAAAACAAAGTCAACTCTTATGATCTATTCTAATAGAACGCTGCAAAAGTATGATATAAACTAACATACAGAATCAAAATATGGGTGTTGGAAGAGACCTTAAAAATCATGGAGTCCAGCCTTCCAATCAATGTAAGAATTGTTTCTGCACCACAGTCAGACAGTTTCTACTTGAAGGGAATTGTCTCAGGAGAAGTCCATTCCATTGCTATAAAGTTTATTTTTCCTTATACAAGTCAAAACCTGGCTGCTGTCATCACTAGTCTTAGCGATCTGTTCGAGAGACACCCAAGGCTTCACAACGGCCCTTCACATATTTGAAAATAGACATCATGCCTTTCCTTGGTCTCTATCTTAACCATTCTTAGTTCATCCATATCTCTTCTCAGAATTTATCAATGTCCCTCCTAATACGTAGCACTCAACTAAACACAATAACTGGACAGGGTCCCTTCAGCCGAGAGTTGAATGTGACTATTATCCTCTGTGATTTAAACCCTATTATTGTATTCTATTCTATAAGGCTATATTACTATAGCCTTAGGGTATATTTAACTCTTTTAGCAAGTAATAACTCTTTTATGATCAACTAATATTGACATATCTTTTTTCCAGTGAACTGCTGTAACCCCCTCCTTCCCACTGTCAATAACAGCGTCAATAGGGCAACTGAAATTGTGCAGATGCTGGGTTTGAACCCAGGGCTTCCTGGCTAAGGCCAGCTTCACCCTTCCTGTCTCATACAAATCATTCCCCCCCCCTCCCGAAGGCAACATAGGGGCAGGGCGAATCAGGAGAAAGAGGAACCTAGACTATATTTGTCCCAGGGGATCCAGCAGACCCCATCGCACTCATTTTCAGTTTGAGCTTCACAGAGTCGTTAAGGGCTAGAAGAGACTTGGGAGGTCATCTAGTACAACATCTTCACTTTATAGAAAAAGAAATTGAAGCTCAGGGAGCAAGGGCTTTGACCATTTTCACAAAGGAAAGTAACAGAGCAGGTTCCGAGATTCGAACCCGAGCCCTCTGAAGCCAGATCCAGCACGCTTTCCATTAGGTCACATCTCGTCCCCATCTCTGCTACTTTGTTGCGCATCTTCTTTCAGCGCGAGAATGGAAAGAAGCTCTAGCACGGGAAGCAGCCTGGAGCTCAGCCCCCCCCCGCGAGCTTGAACTTCAGAGCTCTCTCAGGGATAGCTAACGGACCCAGCACATGCGCACTCACCCGCGCGTGACTTTACGGTTGCGCCCATGCGCGTGACCCACGGAAGTGATACAGGCATGCGCAGTTCAGTCCCCCTCGCAGTGTTGCCAAGGCTACAACCATCTCTAGATTTGAATCCTTTATAACTGTTGCGCGCTCTGGAGTTTCTTAATCTCCAGGCTCAGGTCATTGCAGTTTTCTGGAGCGGAGGCGAGGGCCCGGAGAAGGCTGAGAGGATAAGGGAGAACCCCTCGTGAGTTCTCCCGACCGCCTCTGAAGGATGAAGAAGATTTTCAGCTTCGGCAGAAAGAGAGAGCTGTCTCCCTCTCGAGCCTCCTTCCCCCCGCGGAGGGACAGCGGGGTCCAAGCTTTCGGTCCTAACTCAGGATACCTCGTCAGGGCCAAGGACCTGGGGAAGATCCACAAAGCTGCCTCCATCGGGGATGTGGCGAAGGTGCAGCAGCTGCTGCTGCTGGGGAAGTCCGGCGTGAACGATCGGGATAAAGTGAACCGGTAAGAGGGAGCGGGGAGGGGGAGGAGAAGGGAAGCCCCCCCCGGAGCCTCCTGAGACTCCCCCACCCTCCCCCCTCGTGGGTCCGTGTCTTCACTGACCCTTGGAAAAGCTGCTCCCCTCAGCACCGGGGACAGGGCAGCGCCTCCCGTCAGGGTCAGGGTCAGGCTTCACCTCCTGGACATTGGACAGCAAGTCCAGAAAGCTGGCGTCCCCTCACCCTCCTGCCCATCCAATTCTAATGAACGGTAAACTCCTTCATTTTACTTTGAGCCAGGGTCCAGCCAACTTATTCTTTCTCAATGGCGATGTGGGAGCAAATACTGCTCTCTTCTAGTGAAATGTTGTTTTGAGTCATTTCCGTTGTGTCCGATTGTCCGTGACGGCATCTGGGGCATTTTCTTGGCGAAGATACTGGAATGGTTTGCCGTTTCCTTCTCCAGCTCCTTTCACAGATGAGGAAACTGAGGCAAAGAGGGTTAAGTGACTTGCCCAGAGTCACATGACTCTGAGGCCAGATGTGAACTGAGGAAGATGAGTCTTCCAGACTCCAGGCCCAGCACTCTTATCCATCGTGCCTCCTAGTTGCCCCATCTGGTGAAATATGGCCACGATAAGTGGAGTGTAAAAGCGTCAAGGCAGAAAATTAATTTCTGCTTTTATTAAGCATCTACTGTATGTGTCAGGCACCTGCGTAACCGCAACAGATACAAAGAAATGGGGGAGCGGGGATTGTCCCTGAATTCTAGGAGGTCAGTCTAATGGGGGTGGTAATCAGTAAGGGAGACTGAGGAGAGGATCAGATACTCAGATACTTAGGAGCAGAATCAGGAAAAGAGTTAAAAAAAAAGGCCCTATCTGTTCACTGAAACAAGCGTTATTTTCTAAAGCAATATAAATGCATTTAAAAGTAAACTAAATTTGGGAAAACTTCCAATAAAACTAGCATGAAAGGCACTTTTACTAAAGTAAAATATCAGAAATTTGAATATTATTTTTATATACCTGTTCCATTTTTGTATGTGGCTAAGTTTGTATGAAGTAGATCATATGAAAAAGGGAAGTTGAGGAACTGTGAAGTGAGGGTGTTTGAAGGAGTATTGGCATGTATGTTGAAGAAGTATGATGCACTGGAGAGGAGGAAAGATTATAAGATAACATGGGTAAAAACAACTATGTATAAAAAAATACATACAAGATAAATTGGGAGTAGTCCCAGAGGGAAGTCACTAGTTTTCAGGAAGATGGAGAAAGACTTCTTGTAGAAGGGGAGACTTAAAGGAAACCAGGAGGTTGAAGCAAGGAGGGACAACATTCCAGTCATGAAGACAGCCAGTGAAGACACTTAATGTCAGGAGATGGAGTGCTATGTGTGAGGAACAGTCAATAAACAGACATTTATTGTGGCTACTGTGTAACCAACGCTTTGCTAAGAGTTGGGGAATCAAAGAATGGCAAAAGACAATCGCTGCTCTCAAGGCACTTAAAGTTCTCCTCACAATCTCCATAATCAAAGGCTTCATGTCATCTCCCTCATTTTCTAATTAAACTTTTTTTCCTTTAAGCATTAGTATCCAATATTTTTAAGAGATACAAAAATATTATTCAATGTTGTTTTTCTGTTTTGTTTAATTATTAATTCAAGGTAATATTGTCTTGTCAAAAATATTTTTCAACTGTGAATAGATTACTTGGCCTGGAAAGTCAAGAAGATCTGAATTCAAATTCATCCTCATACACTTTCTAGTTGTGTGACCCAGAGCAAGTTACTTAACCGCTGTTTGTTCAGTTTCCTCAAGTATGAAATGAGACTAATAATAGCACCTACTTCCCAGTGATATTACAAGGATCAAATGAGATAATATTTGTATAGTGCTTGGCACAGTGCCTGGGACATAGTATACACTTATTAGATGCTGGTTTCCTTCCTTCTCAGGCTACATTCAAGCGCATCACCATTGCTGCTGGAAGGATGGGGAAGGAAGAAATCTCTCCCTCTCCAACCTACCTTAGGCACTCTGGACGAAAACATGAGGGAAATACAAAAGGGGAGTCCTGAAGAACAAGAAAAAAAATGAAAAATATACATGTATGAATATTTAGATCCACATGCATTACATCAGGAATACATGATTTTGTTGGTGTTGATATTCCCTCCACCAATACATATTATAACCTCTTTACAACTTGGTAGATGGTCAGCTAGGGGCAGCTAGGTGGTTCAATGGATAGAATGCGCTGCCTGGAGCTAGAAAGACTCATCTTCCTGAGTTCAAATCTGGTCTCAGAACCTTATTAGTTGTGTGACCCTGGGCAAGTCACTTAACCTTCTTTACCTCAGTTTCCTCATCAGTAAAATGAGCTGGAGAAGGAAATGGCAAACCACTCCAGTATCTTTGCCAGAAAAACCCCAAACGGGGTCATGAAGAGTTGAACACCATTGAAATGACCGAACAACAAAGATGGTATTTGAGATTTGCTGTTGATAAACTATTCATCCTCCTTTAAGCAACCTGGTGATATCTTTAGGACCTTAGGTTGGGCCATGGACAGCAGAAGTACCAAGCTCTTTCTTCAAATCTTGCCAGCATGGTAGAACTACCAAAATGTGTACCCTGCTGGGATAACCTTTAGCAGCACAGATCCACTTCAACTGTCCAATGCTACATTGCAGTAAGGCTTTAGTGGAGAATGCACACACATGTGTATATGTGCTTATACAAATACACAATATGGAAATATCTAAATGTTTTTCTGAGGCAGCTGCTTTACTAAATGTTTTATAATTACAAATACTCTTAGTGGAAAGAAGTTGTTATTAGGCTTAACAGCTAGGCAGGTTGATACACACTTGTAATCTCAGCTACCCGTAAGGCTGAGGCTGGCAGATCTCTTGAACTCATGAGTTCTGAGCTGCAGTGGACTATGCCAGTAGGGTGTCTGCACTAAGTCTGGCATCATTATGGTTATTCCCAAAGTATAAGAGGCCATCAGGTTGCCTAAGGAGAGGTGAACCAGCTGAGGTCAGAAACTGTGCAAAGCTACCATGTCAATCTGTAGTGAAATCTTAATCTACCTGCTGTTTTTTTCCCCCTCACAATTTTGTTCATCATATCCAGTAATAAGAGCAAATGCATATTTTATATTTCTTTGGGTGACAATAGTGGCCACTTATATTTATTTTGGCAGTGATTTAGAGTTCAGGCACAAGAATAACGCTACATTTTATGTTAGAAATCACATTTACTAATAACTGTGCAATTTTGATTGTTGTAGTACATTATTAGGCAATCACATATCTCTCTCATTTCCACAGGACACCTCTACACCTTGCCTGTGCTAATGGATATCCAGATGTTGTTTCTCTCTTAGTAGAGAGAAAATGCAATCTAAACCTGCTTGACAATAACAGTCTAACGCCTCTAATTAAGGTATGTACTAGTTAATCACGCTGGTCAATGAAATTCATTTTGATTTTTTTCTTTGATTAAGAAAATATGCTTTACTAACTTATTTAAATATAACTAATGATGTTTTAGTATACTAAATTTTATCTTAGAGTATTTATTATTTCTTTCTCTATATTATATTGACAGGCAGTAGAGTGTCAGCAGGAGGAGTGTGCAACTATCCTGCTTGAACATGGTGCAGACCCTAATCTTGTGGACGCCAACAGCAACACAGCACTTCACTATGCTGCCTCTGGACAGAACACAGCTATAGCAGCAAAACTGCTTAGACATAAAACAGATATTGAAGCAAAAAACAAGGTAGAAGCCTATCTCTTGTATAATAAATTATTTTATGAGCTAAAATGTATAATCAGGTAGTGTCCAATTCACATATTTTATAATTCATATGGAAGCATTTCTTTAATGAAAATAACTCAAAATAATTCTGTAGTCAAAGTTCATTGACTTTTGGAATTTTCTAATGAAAGGGGGAGGAAACAAGGGAGGAGATTTCATTCGTGTTGAAACTCTTCTACAGTTTAATCTTAGAGAAGGGATTCTTAACCTGGGATCCATTAACTTTAAGCAACAATAACTTCATAGTTATTTCAATGTAATTGGCATCCTTTGCATTCTATATATTTGAGGCATTTAAAAACTGTATTCTGGAAAGGGGCCCATGACATAAAAAAAAGTTTAAAAACCCTGTCTTAGGGAGTGTCTTGAAGTACTGAAATGTTAAATGACTTCCCTGGGTCACTCAACCAGTACATGTGGGTCAGCGGCAGGCCTTGAATCTAGGTCTTACTCATTTAAGGCTAGCTCTCTATTCATTCCATCACAGCTGTCTCTTCAGAATTTTCTTTGCATGCTGTATTAGGTCTGCTCCCCAGAATGCAATGGTTACACCAAATATTTGCCTACAATGCTTTTCTACATATAGACCTTTACTTATGATAACATAATGTTAATTTGTCATGTAGAAATGCCATAATTTTTTTAAAAAAGTCTTTTAAAAATGTGTTCCCATTAAGTATAATGCTACACAGACAGAATTTTCACAAAAGCAAATTCTTAAGTGTATGTGGATTTTTTTTTCTATTTCTTAAAGGCTATACCATTTCCTTTCTAGAGCTGCTGAATAACTCCTGATTTTTTTTTTTTTTTTTTTTGCTAGGCAATGGGGTTAAGTGACTTGCCCAGGGTCACATAGCTAGTAAGTGTTATGTGTCTGAGGCCGGATTTGAACTCGGGTCCTCCTGAATCTAGGGCCGGTGCTCTATCTACTGCACCACCTAGCTGCCCCCATAACTCCTGATTTTTAAGAAAAGGTTTAACTTTTAGTCACTGCCACTTGAGAGAGAAAAAACATAAAGTACACATTAGGATGATTGGGAAGAGAGGGAAAATGCCAGGAGGATGGCTCTTACCTGGAGGCAAGATCTTCTTCGGTTTTGAGGCTGGTTATACACACTCACTGGAAGTGGGTAAAGAGAACTACTCAACTGTAAAACTAACCAGGGAATAGCTTTAGCTTAGCAGAGTTCTGAGGAAATAAGGTTGGCTTCATGCAAACAATAATAGATCATGACATGAAGATAGCAAGAAAGGAAGATATTCCTGAAATAATATGAAATAGCCTCTTGCAAATCCTGGATTTCTATCTCCTGATCACAAATTAAGAGCTGGAAGGAATCCCAGAGGTTATCTAGTTTCATTCTGTCATTTTACATATGAGGAAACTAAGGCCCAGAGAAGTGAAATAATTTGCTTATGTTCTCACAGGAATTAACAAACAGAAGCAGAATTTATGTCCTGCTCTTCTCACTCCAAAATTCAGTTGTAATGTTCTTTTTTTAAGATGAATATTCACAAAATTTCTTAAACTGAATTGAAGTATATATAGAATTCTTGCAAACTGTAACAATATCTTTAATATGATTTTGCAGGAAGGGTATACACCACTTTTGCTTGCAATTAGAGAAAATAATCAAGATATGGTAGATCTTCTCTTAAAGAATGGAGCAAATGTGAATGCCTCGGATAAGTCTAAAAGGTACAGTAATTAAAGCTGGAAATACAAAAAAAAGGGAGAAAAGTTTCTAGAGGAATAAGAACAACTTACATCATGGAACACTTAATGAACAATAATAATTGAAATTGATTATCATTGTGAAAGGGTGAAAAATGTCCACAAACATTAAATATGAAAATAAAAACTATTATTTATGACTGCAACAGAGAAAGCAGTTCATGTGGACATGCCAACTACCGTTGATTAGTGATTACTGTTTGCAGTTATTTGATTTTAAGTTAGTTATTTGATTTTATTTGATTTTAAGTTAGTTAAGACTATCCCATAGAAGCTTTGTACTCTAGTGATTCAGGTGATTCTCTTTATGAAATCTTCATGTCACCCATGAGAATTATAGTGTGTGTTTTCTATTCCTTCTTCCTTTGATTATCCTTAAGAATATGCACATTGACAAATGCAAATCAATACAAGAATAATATGATGAAATACTTTGATGAACTTATGATCTTATCATTGTGGATACTTATGCCACTGGTTCAGATTTTAATCCTCCCATGCCTTCTTATCCTACATGATTTTTGTCCTTGTCATTCCATAAATTCTTCATAGAGAATCCAGGAAAGACATTGAAGCCTTCTTCTGGTTCTTTTAATATTTGAGGACAAGTGCATCCAAAATGCTCTCTAGCTTTTATTTTCAATACAAGATTAGGCCTCCTCTTTTTCTGTTTATATATGTCTTTGATAATGTCTCTCATACCACTTATTACAGCAAAGTCATTATTGCCTGAGTCTCTCTATATTCACTGTTCATATTTCCATGGCCTTTGGGATTATCTACAATTTTGATCCTATTGAAACCATATTTTTGGTTTTGGGATTTTTAAAAAGTCACTGTGGCCACATAGCATTCCTGAGAGAATATTGATGTTTATAAAATTAGCTTTTGTGTTGGTGGGGTCATTGGAAGTGCTGTGTAGTTTCTCAAATGAGATCCAATTTGATCTCCTTTTCTCAATAATTATGAGCCCAGTGCACTGTTGTTCTTCAGTGCCCATCCAGGCAGTGTGCATGTGTATGTCTATACATATAAACACATCGACAAAGATGTAGATAGACAAACTAGATGGGGCTGCCCTTTGAAGTCTATGGAATCTAGGAAATATTTACTTTTCATCTATTTCTTCAGCATGGATTCGTAGACCAGTCTCTTTCAACTAAGTCTGGATTTCATCAAGTAGTCTTTTTCATGTTCCAGGGCTTGATACAATTAGCACAATGTCATCCAAAAATAGGAGTATTTGGAAATATTTGCCATCGTATACAGTCTCTGTTCTATTTGGACTCAATGCAGGACATCCTACATAGCATTGGGAAACACCTTAGGTGAGCACATGCCTCACTATTTACATCTAGATTAATGCTGATACTTACTCATGGAACCAAGTTATCACTTTGGGTGGCATGGATCATCGAGTCTTGTATGATTTTAACATAAGCATGGGAGAAGCTTGTTTGATATCACCAAAATTAAAAAAAATAATGAAACTGACATCATAACAGACAAAAATAACTGGTTATCATTGTTGGAATAGTTTCAGAATTTGTTGTCTATGTTCATTCAGATCATGGACGGGCCACGTAAAGGTCAAAATTAATATAAATGAGAAGAAAGGATAAAGATGAAAAGCAGGCAGTGGTTACAGCAACTGTTGCCTCTTGTGATTAAACAAACTATCAGCTCTCCAAGATGAGAAATGGACATATCAATCATCCATTTAAAAAGCGTGTGTTAAGCACTGTTGTATGGTAAGCACTGTGTTAGGCAGTGGACATAATTTATCAGAAGTTTAACAGAAAAGAGTTGACCCAAAGAGAAGGCCAAAAGAGCCCAGAAATTGTATGAGTTGGGAAACATTATCTCTGCCAAAAAAAGAGCTATTATGGCTAAGATTAACTCAAGCTTATAATACAACACAATTTGCAAAAAATGAAGGAGGAAGAGGTTAGAAGATGAAGACCAGTATTGCTTCACAAAACAATGAAAAGCAGTTGAAGAGAAAATAAACCTGTAGGTTGTTTGACATGAAGCCTATGCCATAGAATTTATCTGTGGAATAGATATGAAATAGAACAGAACTACCAATATGTGTTTTTTTGTTTTTGTTTTTTTTTTGGCAATTGGGGTTAAATGACTTGCCGAGGGTCACACAACTAGTAAGTGTCAAGTGTTTGGTCTGAGGTCAGATTTGAACTCAGGTCCTCCTGACTTCCTGCGCCACCTCAATAAATCTATTTTCATTAACAGCACTAGTGGAACATGTGGATTCATTGAACTCAGTTTCTGCTCTTCTTAGTTAGGCAAAGGCAATGGTACAAGGCTCCAGATACATATAGACAATTACAAATTTACTTCATTACTTCATAATCATTTTTAAAGGTATTTGGAAGAAGGGAAGATTCCAAATGAGTGGGAAAGGTCACTTCCTAATGAAATAAAAGTATACAAATATTGAAGAGTTATAGATTAGATTTTTCATTTAGCTGAGATCTCAAAAGATGTGTATGGTATCTTTTTGAGCCTTTACTTTTGAATATTAACATTTTTAATAGTATTTTTCTCCATTTACATGTTAAGATAATTTTTAGCATTCATTTTTATGAGATTTTGAGTTCCAAATTTTTCTATTTCCCCATCTCCCCTCTCCCGAAAATGGTAGGCAGTTTGATATAGATTATATTGTATTATACATGTGCTATCATGTAAAATATGTTTTCATATTAGTCATAGTTGTGAAAGAAGAAACAGATCAAAAGAAAAAAAAAACAGGAAAAAGAATAAATTTTAAAAATGCTTCAATCTCCATTCAAAGTCCATCAGTTCTTTATCTGGTTGTAGATGTAGATTTTCCTTTGCGAATCCTTTCTACTTGTCTTGGATCATTGTGTTGCTGAGGAGAGCTGAGTCATTCATACTTGATCATCACACAGTGTTGCTAATACTGTGTACAATATTTTTTCTGGTTCTGCTCATTTTACTTTGCAGCAGTTCATACAAGTCTTTCAAGATTTTTCTGAAATCAGCCTGTTAATCATTTCTTGTAGAACAATTGTATTCCATTACATTCATATACCACAGCTTGTTGAGCCATTCTCCAATTGATGGGCATCCCCACAATTTCCAATATTTTGCCACCATGAATAGGACTGCTATAAAAAGTTTTGCACATGTAGGTCCTTTTCCCTTTTTTATGATCTCTTTGGGATACAGACTTACTAGTGGTATTCCTGGATCAAAGCTTGTGCACAGATTGCCTTTTGGGAATAGTTCCACATTGGTTGGATCAATTCACAACTCTACCAACAGTGCATTAGTGTCCCAATTTTCCCACATCTTCTCCAACATTTATTATTTTCTTTTTTTTGTCATAATAGCCAATGTGATTGATGTGAGATACCTCAGAATTGTTTTAATTTGCATTTCTCTAATCAGAAGTGATTTAGAGCACTTCTTCATCTGCCTATAAATAGCTTGGATTTCTTCAAATGAAAATGGCCCATTCATATCCTTTGACCATTTATCAGTTGGGGAATGGTTTGTATTCCTATAAATTTGACTTAAATTTCTCTATATGTTTGACAAATGAGGCCTTTATCAAAGATACTTGCTGTAAAGATTGTTTCTTAGCTTTCTGTTTTCCTTCTGATCTTGGTTGCATTGGTTTTGTTTCTACAGAAGCTTTTTATTTTAATATAATCAAAATGATCTATTTTATATTTCATAACACTTTCTTTCTCTTATTTGATGATGAATTCTTCCTTTCTCCATAGACCTGACAGGTCTTCCTTGCTCTTCTAATTTGCTTATGTTGTCATCCTTTATGTCTAAATCAGGCACCCATTTTGACATTATCTTGGTATACAGTGTGAGATGTTGATTTATGTCCTGTTTTCCAATTATCCAAGCAGTTTTTGCTAGATAGTTCTTATACCAAAAGCTGGGGTCTTTAGGTTTATCAATGCTAGGTTCTTATGGTCATTAACTACTGTGTCTTGTATACCTAATCTGTTCCACTAATCTACCACTCTATTTCTTAGATACAGATAATTTTTTTGCCAGATAGTTTTGATGATTACTGCTTTATATCTAGTATTGCTAGGTTACCTTCCTTTGTATTGTTTTTCATTAATTCCCTTGATATTCTTGACCTTTTGTTCTTTCAGATGAATTTTTCAGTTTTTTTTTTCTAGTTCTGTCAAATAATTTTTTGGTAGTTTGATTGGTATGGCAGTGAATAAGTAAATTAGTTTAGGCAGAATTGTAATTTTTTTTTTTGTATTGGCTTAGCCTACCCATGAGCAATTGATGTTTTTCCAGTTGTTTAGATCTGACTTTGTGCAAAAAGTGTTTTGTAATTGTTTTCATATGTTTCCTGGATTTGTCTTGGCAGATAGCCTCACAGGTATTTTGTATTGTTTATAGTTATTTTGAATGGAATTTCCCTTTCTATCTGTTGTTGCGGGGTTTTGCTGGTCATGTAAAGAAATGCTGATGTTTTTATGTGGGTTTATCTTATATCCTGCAACTTTGGTAAAGTTGTTAATTATTTCAAGTAGTTTTTTGGTTGATTCTCTAGGGATCTCTAAGTATACCATCATATCATCTTCAGAGTGATAAATTTGTTTCCCCATTGCCTATTTTAATTCCTTTGATTTCTTTTTCTTCTTTCATTGCTATAACTAGCATTTCTAATACATATTGAGTAACAGTGGTGATAATGGGCATCCTTGCTTCACCCAGATATTATTGGTAAGGCTTCTAGTTTATCTCTATTACAGATGATGCTTGCTGATGGTTTTAGATAGATACTACTTATCATTCTAAGGAATGCTTCTTTATTCCTATGCTCCCAGTATTTTTAATAAGAATGTGTACTGTATTTTGGCAAAAACTTTTTCAGAATCTATTGAGAAATTAATATTATTTCTGTTGGTTTTCATGTTTATATGGTCAGTTATATTGATAATTTTCCTAATATTGTACCCTGTCTGCATTCCTGGTATAAATTCCATCTGGTCATAGTGAATAATCCTTGTGCTGTATTGCTGTAATCACCTTGCTAGTATTTTGTTGAACATTTTTACATTAATATTCATTAGGGAAATTGGTCTATAATTTTCTTTCTCTATTTTAGCTCTTCCTGGTTTAGATATCAACACCATATTTGTGTCATAAAAAGAGTTTAATAGGACTCCTTCACCTATTTTTCCAAATAGTTTATATAGCATTGGAATTAATTATTCTTTTAATGTTGGGTAGACTTCATCTGTGAACCCATCTAGCTCTGGGGATTTTTTCTTGGGGAATTCATTAATGGCTTGTTCAGTTTCTTTTTCTAAGATTGGGTTATTTAGGCATGATATTTCCTGATCTATTAATCTGGGTAATGTATATTTTCATAAATATTCATTGATTTAGCTCAGATTGTCAGATTTATTGGCATATAATTGGGCAAACTATTTCCTAAGGATTGTTTTAATGTCTTCATCATTGGTGATGATTTCATCCTTTTCATTTTTGATACTGGTAGCTTTGTTTTCTTCTTTATTTTTAATCAAATTAACCAATGGCTTATCTATCTTATTATTTTTTCCATAAAACTAGCTCCTAGATTTATTTATTAGCTCAATAGCTTTTTTTTTTAATATGTATGCTTTCAATCTTATTAATTTCACCTTTGATTTTTTAGGATTTCTTATTTGGTGCTCAAATGGGGGTTTTTAATATGTTTTTTTCTAGTTTCTTTTTTTTTTTTTTAGTTGCATGCCCAATTCATTGATCTCTTCTTTTTCTGTTTCGTTGATGTAAAAATTTAGAGAAATAACTTTTCCCCTAAGTACTGCTTTGGCTGCATCCCACAAATTTTCACTAAGTAGTGTCAAGGGACAGCAGACCTTCACATGACATTACTGATATTGCTGCGATACTATGTTAGGCAAAAAGCCCATGAATTTTCAGCATACAACAAACTTGGTACTTCAGAAGATTTGTGTTTTCATCATTGTGGATATTCCCACTACTGGTGCAGCTCTTAATCACACTAAATCTTAATAAACTGTCTTCATGAGTTAATGGGCATTCCCCAAATCAACTGGTACTAGCTTTCTGATGATGAACCTTTCTTTACTTAGGCTTGTCCTTGAACAACAGAGTTCATTGCTCTATTCATGTTCAAAGACTTTCATGTTTGTTAAGACATAAAACAGTTTGTTTTGGATTAGCCTTTGCCAAACAAGGGTCAGCTCCACATTATGGGTGTCTTTTTGTTTTTTGGTTTTTTGGGTTTTTTTGGTGAGGTAGTTGAGGGTAAGTGACTTGCCCAGGGTCACACAGCTAGTAACTTTTAAGTCCGTGAGGCTGGATTTGAACCCAGGTCCTCCTGACTCCAAGGCTGGAGCTCTATCTACTGCGTCACCTAGCCACCCCTCAGCTCCACATTATGAAGTGGCATTGGAGTAGGAATTTAGTGGAGTGAGTTGTCAACATTATTTCTAATCTAATCATTTTCGAAGGGTCTCTACTTTATTTTGAAGGCCAGTAAACAAGTGGAAACTCTGTGTAGGATCCCTCACTGAAAGTCCTTAACTATTGCACACAACTTTGACATACTCTCTTCTTGTCTATTATAAAGCCTTAAATTTGACAATGCCTGGGAAAACTCTAAAGGGGTAAAAAAAAATTCTCTTTGTTATCTTTCATTCTGGTCTTAATTGTCATTTTTAATGCTACACATAAACAATAAGAGTACTCATATCTATCACTAAGTGTTTATGCTCCACACACATCTTAACTCTAAAGAATGTGAAATATCCTTTTATTGAAACATATCAAGAAAAATCTGATTAAATGTGACTACTTTAAATTCTTAAATGTGAATTGTTTCTTCATTATTCTAGAACAGCCCTGATGATTGCTGTCAGTGGTGAACCAACAGGCATAGTCAGTCTTCTTCTTCAGTATGATATTGATCTCTCTTGCCAAGATACATATGGATGGACAGCTGAGGAATATGCTATTTTCAGTGGTCATTCCATGTAAGTACTAACATTATAATTCTAATTATCTTTAATTGCACTTAAAAACATTTTTTCTCCATACAACTGAAACTACCTGGGACTTTTATAGTTGCATAATATAGCAAGCATCTGGCAGGCATACTTCAAGGCACTAAGAAGAAACTGGGCAAATGGCAAAGTTAAGTCATTCAAGTTCAGAAGGACATAAGCAAGAGACAGGGTGCAAAATAGAGTCAGGTAATCTGAGATTGAAATTTTCAGATATAATAATAATGACAGTAATAGCTGCCATTTTTATAGTTCTTTAAGGTTTTCCAATGTTTTACATACATCTTATTATTTGATCTTCACAAAAGTTCTATAATTTACTTACGATGTCTGATTTAGAGAGGCAGTTGTTTCTTTTTTTGTTTGCTTGTTTGCTTTTTAACCTTGGCTGACACCTCTTGATTATAGTAGACCTAAAGTTAGTTTTAGAAAAAATCACACTATGTCTTAGACACCTTCAAATGAGTGATAACTAAAAAGAATAAATCATAAATACTAATGGTCAACATTAGAATTTACAGAATGTCAGGTTGGTACAGGGGAAAGAATGCTTGATTTGGAGTCAGAGTACCTGGGGAGAGATCATGTCTGTCACTACATGTGTGACCTTGGACAACTGTTACCTTTTCTGAGACTCGGTTAATCTCTAAAATAAAGATATTGGAGTAGATGACCTATATAGAACCTTTCAGCTCTGAATCTACAATTCTATAAAACTGTGACTCTGAGTACAAGTGTATTACATCTAGAATGAATGATTAGTTATGCTCTACAGACTATCAAAACAATAAAAAAAATTCTTGGTGGTAATCTGATTATTTAAAGTTTGAGATACACAAAGACTTGGTGCACATAATTTTTATCTTTGTTGATGTGGATTTATTATGTTTTAAATTTTATTTTATACATAGTCATCGCCAACTAATTAATCAGTATGGAACACAGAAGGCACTTAATCAGCCCCTTTCACCCCAAATCGGCAGTTCAGAGAGGGCTTCTGATCCAGAATTTACTTTGGGTGGACCTGCTATGGACCAGGAAGGTAGGACTGATAAACCCGAAGAAATAATTAATTTAAAAAATAATGAAAGAGTAATCTTAAAAGTCATATATACTTTCTTTTTTCTATTTCCATTTGATACTTTAAAGGAATAAGAACTGGTTTAGTTTTGGTTTAGTTTACTTAGTTATCCTTGTAGGTTCACCATCCTGAAACTGTTTACTAAAAATAACCTCAGAATATTTTCTGTTATTATTATCTGCTTTATCCAAAAATTTCTTTATGTAGGCTTCAGTAACAATTTTCAGATTTCTACATTATTCTAAATATATCTAACTAAATCATATGAAAATTCTTGAACACTTTTAAAATGTATTATATTTAGCAATATTATTTGTTTCTGATTCTTAAATAAGGGAAAATTAAATAACACATGTAAGGGTCTCCTATAACTGTAGCATGTGCACACACACACAGATAGTTTGTATGATCTAATATTTGAATACGTAAAGATAGAACAGTAAAACAGCAGGAGAGCAGATTCCTTATTGTATTTTGGAACTCTTTGTAAATCACTTATCCAGGCTTTCGAAATGTATACATTTTAAATGTTTCCAAAATCTTAAAATGTTCATAAAGCTTTCGCTCCACAGATACTAAAGAGAATAAAAAAGCTACAGGAGTTATGGGGACCAGGGAACAGAGGTTTGAAAGGTAATGCATATGTGTTCCTAGATTTTGGGTCAATATTTGCATATGTGCCCAACTCTAACATGACCCTAAGGAAGAATTTCCAACCCCCTGATGCAGGCGGTTAAACTTTAGAAGAGAGAAGATCTTCTGACTTAGCTCCTAACATTTAATCCTGCCACCTGGGCCATTTGGAATCTTAATGACTGGGGCTTGTAATGATAAATTCATCTCACATTTATGAGATTTTTTTTTCAAATCAGTTTACCCATTACCTTGTGAGAAAGGTAGTGTGGGTATTCTGGTTACTCTCATTTGAATGGTGATGAAACTGAGGAGCAGAAAGCTTAGATGACTTGCTCATGCTAATAGACCTAAAAGGAAAGAGTTATCATGCACTTTTAACTACTGTACATTACACTATATGTCAGAAAGAGATATGCTGTGTAAACTTTCCTTAGAAGAAATGAGAAAACACAATGGCAGAAAAAACAGTATTTAATTTTAAATATATCATTTTACTGCCTGAAAATGTCATATTCCAATAAAATATTTTAATTCCCTATAGCTAGTCGTGTGACAACTGAACCTTGCTTTCCCTCATTTTATTCATTTATAAAACAGTATATCTCTAACTGCAGACATGAAATTGTTATGACAAGCGTTTAAAACTAAAAAAGTGAAGTTCTATTCCTTAATAAATAGTATTTTTAATCATGTTAACTACATATACAAATTTTAAGCACAAATTTTTAAAAACCCTAATCCAGTTTTAATGAAATTATATTGTGTAATCTCATTGAAAATGGAGTTTCTATAAGGTTTATCAATCAAGAAGAAGTTATAGCCTAGAACACTGAATTAAATATAAGGACAATTAAAAAGTATAGTTTTAGTGATAGAACTTTTCATAAATATGTTCCAGGAAGATATCAGAATATAGACACTGACTTTATGAAATACATAGTAACCAATAATATTTTCCGTACAAGCCACAATCATAGAGTATACTTAAATGTATTTATGTTAGAATTTTAAAAGGTTAAAGGAACTAGGGATAGGAATAAGGAGAAAAGTTAATTATAATGGTTTGCTATTGTAAAGTAAATATTCTTTCCTTCAAATACTCATCCTCCATAAGAGGATATTTATTTGTTCCACCTTATTTTGTGTTCATCAAAAAACTGTTAAAATTCATTATGTGATAGGTAAATGTAGCTGTAACAGCATCGCCTAACCCATCATTAGATTTGAAATTGGTGATCTCTCAGTTGTTTTGAACTGGAGGAGTCAGTGAACTATTAGTGTAAACCTCAAAACTTCATTGTTTTGGGGTGAAACTTAGAATAATAATAAAGTGAGTATCTTTTTTTTTCTTGACTTTTACTAATAGTGAACCTTTTGCATATAAATTTTCATATAAATCATATTGTCAAAGGGAACCAGACTCTCATCATGAAGAATGAGTGTGTTAGAGCCCTGGTCCTGAGGCCGGGTAGTCATTTTCAATGACTGGAACCAACAAATGCTTTCTTGCTATTATTTCTTGCATTTTTTTGTACGCATTAATTGTGAATTACCTTAATTTCTTTGTCAAAAAAACAAAAATATATGAGTTTTCTGGCACCTTGACAAATTATTATGTTCTGGGATTGAGCACTCCCTAGTTATTTCTTCTGGTTACTTTGATATTTTAATTCAGGGTTATGGTAGAAAAGCCATAATTTATCCAAAACATTGTTTTCCAAAAAATCTTTTTTTCTGCTGTCTGAAAATTTGTACTCAATTTGCTTTTTGTGCAACCATAATTTTAATTGTATAATGTCATCTTCCTGCACAAGTCATCGTGATTAATACCATGAACCACTGAATGACAAATGCCAACAAGTAAAAGATATCCTTCTCCACTGAGACAGTGCTGTAGTGTAGACAGATAAGGCAGGCAGGATTTAGAACCATGTGGTCTAGTCCTGGCTCTGCCGCTAACTAGGTCCTTCATTTCTTTGACATTTTCTATTTACAAATATAAAGTGAAGGATTTGGAATGCCTTCTGAGATTCCATTTACTCTAAAATACTATGTTTCTGTACTAATTCATTGTTAATATCATTGATTTAAATAAATTTTTATGCAGATCCTGAATAACATGCCTAGTCAAATACAGTAGTATTCATCATCCGTTGTCCACCTCCTTCATAAAATATTTTATACCACATAAATACTATTCTATAGCATGACAATCAAATCTCCCTTTAATTGTACATTTTATCATTTCAAACACTTCTATGACTTGTCTCCATAAATGCATGCAAAACTTTTAATTCATAATTTGTAAATCCCTTAGGTCATAAATAACACTTCACTCCAATGTGGAAGAATTTCTTAGCTAGTACCAAAGAGTTTTTAGTATAGTTTTAGATTTGGTACAGATAGGCCACTTTCCTTTGCACTTTTTAAAATTAGTTCCCTTGATATTCTCGACCATTTGTTCTTCCATGTGAATTTTGTTGTTATTTTTTATAGCTCTATCAAATAATTTTTTGGTAGTTTGATTGGTAGAGCACTGAATAAGTAAATTAATTTAGATAGAATTGTCATTTTTATTATATTAGCTTGGCCTTCCCATGAACAATTGATATTTTTCCAGTTGTTTAGATCTGACTTTATTTCTCTGAAGTGTTTTGTAATTGTGTTCTTATAGTTTCTGGGTTTGTCTTGGCAGGTAAACTGCCAAATATTTTTTATTTTCTACAGTTATTTTAAATGGAATTTTTCTTTCTGTCTCTTATTGCTGAGCTTTGTTGGTAATATGTAGAAATGCTGATGATTTATCTTATATCTTGCAACTTTACTAAAGTTAATTGTTTCAAGTAGTTCTTTAGTTGATTCTCTAGAGTTCTCTAAGTATAGCATCATATATATATCATCTGCAAAGACTGACAGTTTTGTTTCCTCATTGCCTATTCTAATTCCTTCAATTTCTATTTCTTCTCTTATTGCTAAAGCTAACATTTCTAGCACACTTTTGAATAATAGTAATTATAATGGGCATCCTTGTTTCACCTCTGATCTTATTTGGGATGCTTCTAGTTTGTCCCCATTACAATATAATGCTTGCTGATGGCTTTAGATGAATACTGCTTATAATTTTGAGGAAAACTCTATTTATTCCTATGCTATCTACTGGTTTTAATAGGAATGGATGTTGTATTTTGTCAAAAGTTTTTTCTGCATCTATTAAGATAATCATATGATTCTGTTAATTTTGTTATTGATATGATCAATTGTGCTGATAGTTTTCCTAATATTGAACCAGCCCTGCATTCCTGGTATAAAACCCACCTGGTCATAGTGTATTATCCTCTTGATAAGTTGCTGTAATCTCTTTGCTAATATTTTATTTAAAATTTTTGTATCTATATTCATTAGGGAAATTGGTCTATAATTTTTTTTTCTGTTTTGGCCCTTCCAGGTTTAGGTATCAGCACCATATTTGTGTTGTAAAAGGAATTTGGTAGGACTACTTCTTGGCCTAATTTTTCAAATACTTGGAAACTATTGGAATTAATTGTTCTCTAAATGTTTAGTAGAATTCACTTTCAAATCCATCTGGCCCTGGAGATTTTTTCTTAGGGAGTTCATCAATGGCTTCTTCAATTTCTTTTTCTAAAATGGGATTATTTAAGTATTTTTTTCCTCTTCTCTCAATCTGGGCAATTTATATGTTTGTAAATATTCATCCATTTCACTTAGATTGTCACTTTTATTGGCATTAATTTCCTTTTCATTGGTAGTGAATTCACTCTTTTCATTTTTAATATTGGTTAAATGTTTTTCTTCTTCCTTTTTTAATCAAATTAACCAAAAGTTTTTTTTATTGGTCTTTTTGTAAAACCATCTCTTAATTTTATTTATTAGTTCAATAGTTTTCTTATTTTCATTTTTATTTATCTCCTTTGATTTTTAGAATTTCTAATTTGGTATTTAATTAGGGATTTTTATTTTACTCTTTTTCTAGCTTTTTTAGTTTCATGCCCAATTAATTGATCTTCCCTCTTCCCTCACTGTAAGCATTTAGAGATATAAAATTTCCCCTAAGAACTTGTATCTGAAGATCAAATTTTCTGTTGAGCTCTGGTCTTTTCATCAGGAAAGTTTGAATGTCAATCTTTTCCCATGAAAGATTATACTCAGTTTTGCTGCATAGTTGATTCTTGGTTGTAATCCAAGCTCTGTTGCCCTCTGGGATATTGTATTATGAACTCTCCCATTCTTTAATGTAAGAAGCTGCTAAGGCCTGTGTAATCTTGACTGTTGCTCCTTAATAGTTGGATTGGTTTTTTCTTGCTGCTTGCAGTGTTTTCTCCTTGACCTGATAATTCTGGAATTTGGCTACAGTATTTCTTGGAGTTTTCATTTTGTGATTTCTTTCAGGAGGTCATAGATGGATTCTTTCAGTGACTATTTTAACCTCTGGTTCTAGAATATCAGGGCAGATTTTCTTGATAATTTCTTGAAAAATGCTGTCCGGGCTCTTTTCTTATCATGGTCTTCAGACAGTCCAATAATTCTTAAGTTGTCTCTCCTAGATCTATTTTCCTGGTTAGTTTTTTTTCCAATGAAGTATTTTACATTTTCTTTTATTTTCTCATTCTTTTGATTTTATTTGACAGATTCTTAATGTCTCATAGAGTCATTAGCTTCCACTTGCCCAATTCTAATTTTTAAAGAATTATTTTCTTCAGTTAATTTTTGTACCTCCTTTTCCATTTAGCCAATTCTGCTTTTTAAGGAGTTGTTTTCTTCAGTGGATTTTTTTTTCCATTTGGCCAATTCTATTTTTAAGGAGTTTTCTTCAGTCAATTTTTGTGCTTCCTTTTCCAAACTGTGGACTTTTTTTTTTTAATAAATCTCCTATATAACTCATATCTTTTCCAAGTTTTTCTTCTGCCTCTCTTACTTGATTTGTATGATCCTTTTTGAACTCTTCCAAGAGGACTTTTTGGGCTCAAGACCAATTCATATTCCCCTTTGAGGCTTCATATAATAGTCGTTTTGATGTTGGTCTCGTCTGAGTTTGTGTTTTGATCTTCCCTGTCACCATAGTAGCTGTCTATGATCAGGGCTATTTCCTGTTTCTTTCTCATTTTCAGCCTATTTGATGACTTTTAAAGTTGAGCTCTGACCCTAGTTATGGTAAAGGGGGCACTATTCCCAAGCTTCTTTTGCTGAGGGCCAATGGCATGATCACTTGCTTTCCACACTGGGGCCTCAGATATTTACATCTTGCTCATTTCTCTGTGGGTAGAATAGCCTAGTTATGCCTATTGTGCCAGGGTTCCAGGACTCATAATTTTTGCCTTCTGCCCTGGGGTTAGAGGCCTCACTGCTTGCCTACTGAGCAAGGACTGAGAGGCCTTCATTACTGACCTCTGCTGTGACTAAGAGCATGTCACTGGCTTGCCCAGATATCATGTGTGCTAGGCTGTGCTCCCCTTTTATCCAAGTGAGACAGACCTTTTCTGAAGTCCTTTTAAGGTATCTTAATCTGGAAAAGTGTTTCACTCCATCTTTTTGTGGGTTCTGTCACTCCAAAATCTGTTTAGCAGCTACATTTAATGTTTCCGAAGGAAACTGGGGAGAGCTCAGTCTTGGCTTCTCTCTGCCATCTTGTCTTAACTCCTGTATTTTAATGTTTTCAAAGTGTTTTCCTCACATTACTTTTGTCTTTTGTTATAACCTTTGAAATTTATCCTCTAGGGGAAATGTCCAGAAACTTGATGCCTTTTTAATAGTAACATTTTCCCTTTAATGAAAAATCATTAGAATATAGTTAAAGAGACTTGGAATTGGAAATTACTTTAGAGGTAATGCAGTCCAACTATATCATTTGGGAAAATTCATTAACAGTAGGTTTATGAAAGATATGTACTTTGCAAAAGATATGTACTTCTAATACTTTTTATTTTTTAAAGAGACCTCATTTAACAGTGGGAAAAAGACTAGTTTTGGAGTTAGGATTTCCTGGAATTCCTTAGGAATATCATTTAACCTCTGAGATTTGTTTACTCGTCACTAAAATGAAGGAATTCAATCAGATGATTTATATGAGGTTTAGATCTAAATTATATGATTCTATGAAATCATTCTTTAATTTGACAGGCCGTGATTACTTATATGATAGTTAATGTTTTAAAATGTAAAACTTACATGCATTTAAAACTACATCACTTTTATAAGATTTATGGGGATTTAAGCTATGTTTTACCTGCCAAAATTAGAGAACTATGCAGTTCTGTAGTGAATATGATAAGCCTGCACAACCAATTTTGGGTATTCAAAGCAATTCAAAGGAATGTCATATTTGGGGGGTGGGGTGGAGGAGACAAATTTAAAAATGTTGTCAGTTGTCATCAAAATTCATAGCCAAAGTGACCTATATTTACTTGCATTTGATTAAATTGTTTTTACATATTATGAGTAATAGTAAATATCAAAGAAGATGATTTGTGCCAACTTTAACTTCCTATATATCCATATTACAATGATAATTTATATCCGTGATAATTTTTAAAGGAGCCTATGGATGTTATAAGTTCTCTAGAAATTAAATTTTATTCAATATAATTTTAGAGTGAAATGAATTTTATTTTAGTTTGTCTTTTGATGATTGGTAATTTATTTGTGGTATTTGTGGCAACTCATTATTTACATGTATTTAATTTAAAAGAACAGTTCATTCCTCATGGAATGGGAAAACATGCCAGATAAATAATTTATATTTTTTTCTAGCAAAGATAAATTCTCTTAAAATTATTAATATTCACATCCACAGTGGTCGTAGGAGGGAAGAGAGGCCATCTTAGTTGTATTGGTTGAGTAAATTGCTTTTTACTTTTTGCCCTACTCTTTCTGTAGTGGCAAGTAATGATGTTCTTTGTACAACAGCATTTAATGAGTAAGCAGTGTTTTCAGTATTGTGCTATTAGATAAGGAACAAGATTGAAAGTAAGTAGTGGATCATATCATCAGTAGTGGATTAATTATATGAATTGTGATTATGTGTCTTTGAAGAGGCATCTCACTTGGCAGACTGACACGTAAACTTTTGAAATGAGGAAGCAAAGCATAGCTAATCAGAAAAAATCAGTTGACTCTGTCTCATTAAGGATTTAATAATACATTTTTATTTCATTTTAAGTACTTTTATAATTAGTAAGCCAAATAGTCTGTACTAGCAGTTCCTACATTCCTTTTAGAATACAGCTACTTGTCTTCATATTTTTTTCTGATTTCATTGTTTCATCTATCCCTTTCATGCCTGTTCCTAAACGGATATAGAAATACAGGAATCTCCAGTGCAAACATCAAGAGCAAGAATTTCAGGGAAAGGTATTCTGTGAAATAACAAAATAAAAATATTTACTCAAATAATAATTAAATTACTTTAGTTGCTGCTCTAGTTCAAATTTTATTTTTGATATTGCTTTTACTATTTCTGTTTAGACTAAGCATTACGTAGAATAAAGTAGGATAGAATCCATTATACTGATATTTTCTGTGTGGTATGCCATTAGAAAGTAGTATATAGTTTTTTAATTTGATAAATTCTGAACATTTTGTTAAAAATAATTGAGAGATGATTTCAGGAAAAAAATGTTTTGAATAATTATCTTGAGTTTGAACTTTTTATTTAAAATATGAAGATCTTTGTTTGAAATTCCTATTTTAAAAACTACTTTGTAATGGTAATTTCTTTAGTATTGTTCATTATTAGATTGAGTTAATTCTACTCATGTTTATATTGATATTGTATTGATTATATATTATTTTACTGTTATAATGCCACTCCTTGACATATGTGTATGTGTGTGTGTGTTTGTGTGTATATGTATGTATATGTATACATATATATACATATATATAAAGATAAACTAATCAAATATTTTTGCAAACAATCTTATTTTGTCTGAAGTTAATTGCTTATGTGCCACAAAAAGAGAAAGACCTGGTACTATTCTGATCTTTGTTCTGTTTTCAACGTGACCGTGTAATTGCTAACTGTACTGAAGTTTTGCTACAATTGTTATATAGTGTAAGTTGGGTGCTTTCTAATTTAAAAAAAAATGAGAGTCCAAACCACAGGAATTAAGTTGTTTGAGATCCTGTCCCAAAGAGACTCTGGCTTGATTCTTCTCCTTTGTTTTATCATATAAATTTCACCTTGCCCCCTAACATAAGTGCCTCTTTGAATCATCTTGTGGTATGAAATAAGCCTGGAGAAAGTGTGCCATCTCTCCAGCTTTGAGGGGATTAGAGCTTTTATGCTTTTTAAAACCACCACAGTGAAATCTTTCCTGATCATGTATAACTAGGGAGGAGAACTAGAGACTTTGTTCTGTATGAATTTAACTTACTTCTTCTGGCTCTCCATCCTTTGGGAAAGTCTAGGAATACCATTTTATTCTGCACAATATGGCATAACAGTTTTTGATTAGTTACATTTTAATTGGGGAGAAAATTTAAGAGTCATATTTCTCACTCATTAAATAGTTACTAGGTACTCAGTATGTATTATGCTCTATACTGAAGTCTTATTCTAAAATTCATCAGGGTGTAGAGGCAACCTTAAATTCTCAAAGTTTGTATAGACAAAGTGAGCACTCTTGTAGGTCTTAGCCAGTAGGAAAGACTGGATAGAGAACTGGCCTTTACAATAAGAAGTCATGGGTTAAAAACCCACTTCTGATACCTATTGGCTGGTTGACTCTACACAGGTTGCTTAACCTTTCACTGCCTCAAGTTACTAACTCACTAAGGCTATAATTTGCAGAGAAACTGCCTGTCTATATAAGGTAATTATTCTCACTGTGAGTTCCATATAGATGAAATCTCATATCTCATTGACCATATCTAGTTCAAAAGAAATTTGGCAGTATCTTGTTGAATGAATTGGAGAAAGTAAAGTTTGGAGAATAGTTATGAATCAAATAATAAAAGAATGCACCCAATGAAATGGGCAAATGGTCACCTCTTAATTGCTTCCCTTAAACTAGGGTGATGGTTGATAGAAAAAAGAAGTACTTATTTCACTGCCCATCTGACTATCTTTAGAGTGAGTATATTTTGCAGGAGAAGGTCAGAAGAAATAACAGATGTACATTGTACATGATAAGTTTTTTGATTTTATTTTTAGCTTTCCCTTCCTGGGAAGGTTTGAAACTAGAAAATATATTTATTTGCAACTCATCAGCCCCTTCCTTCTAGAGACTGTAGAGGTCTATGCACAGCACATTATATCTGGATCTCTTGCCCATGGAGAAGAGCTCAAAATATGTTATGTCCTACCAAGCAGAGCAGTCTCTGAATCTGTCCTGACTTAGAGAATGGACCAAACAGGTCTGTTCCATGTCATGCTTCATGTGGCAGTACTACATCTCCACACATTCCATCTATGTGGTATGTGGTGAGAAAGGTAAAACAAATATGGTCTTTCTCAATCTACCTACATAAAAAAGCACAGATTAATCCTGTTATATCAACTTGTTCCTTCTGTTTATGATATCTGCTAGTGATGTTATGCTCTGTCAGTGTGAAAGAGCCTACTAGTGAAATGGCCAGTGTAAACAAATCACTGACAGATAATCTGATGCTTAAAGAAGACCTCTTTCTACCCTCAGAGTCTTGATACTTAAGACACTTATCTCTAGCATAATTCCATTTGTATCATGGATCTTTGTCATGTCCGAAAAAATACATTGTAGCAAAACTGCATAAATTATATGTTTAATATTAATGTCATGTATTGATATTTCTGTTTTAATTATATTTTACTTCTTTCTTCAGTAGTGGAAGAAAATTCCCTGGAAGAATCTATAAGCAGGTAGGCTTCATAGCAGTTAATATTTCCTTTAATTAATCCATTAATTAATTTATTTTAATTAAATTAATTTTATTAATTATTGATTTAATTAATTAATAATGCACATGGTTCATTCTGCAATAGGTGTTTCTCTCTAAGACAAAGCAGATTCTCATCCTCCAAAAAAATAATATATCTTCAATTTAACCAATTCCCACCATCACATTAACTCATTTTTTTTATTTCATCATCTTGCATAGAATTATGTTTATTAAACACCTCATATATTTATATATTAATCAGTTTGGCAACTGTTCTGTGTTAGAGTTGCCTGGGAACACCGAAGGATTAAGTTATTTGCCTGGGCCCTCAAAACCAGTATGTGACAAAAGGAGAACTTGAACCCAGTATATTTTTACTCCCAGAACCACTCCCTATCCACAATCCCCTAATAGAACTACTAATAAAAGGTAATTAGTTGAATGAAGAATGAGCAAGCTATGTTCTTCCATATGGCCACACTATATATTTGCTACCTGGAATGGATTCCTAGTAAGACTTTTAAGACACATTTGTAGTGCAAATATGTATCTTCTTAAAGTTGTATAAATGTGTCTTACCTGTGAATGCAGCTATGAATGTTTTGTACAACTAGGTCCGTTTTTTCCTTCCTGTGCTCTTTTTTAGGATGAATTCATAGCAATGGAATCATAGCAATGAAAATCGGTTTTATGAGTCTTGTATGTTGTTCTCCAAAATGTTTGCACTGATGTGCAGTTCCACCAGTGGCATATTAGAATTTCCCACAACTCCACGAATTTATAACTTTTGCAATTTTTGACATTCTAGTCGATATAATAAACTTAGGTCGATTTACATTTCTCTACTTATTGGAAGATTAGAACATTTTTCATGAAGTAATTCTGTAATAATGAAACAATTTTTATTCAATCATTGCTTCATTTGAAGACATTTTACTAGATTGAGAGATATGTATCAGATAGTCAATCTTCAATTTTTGTGGAGGTCACATTCTTAGAAAATGGCACAAAAGTCAAATACTTAAATACTTCAAAGTGCTCAGGGATTATCAACTCAAGGGGTGATCAGCATGGGGTGGCGATTAGTCACTGGGGCCAGGGTCTTAAGTCAAGACAGGAAGCAGTATTGGAAATTTCTCAGCAAGACAGAAAAAAGCAATAGAATGAAATGAGAAGTGGCTGGTAAGTAGTTTCTGCTTGGTACTCTTGTAGACAACAGTGATAGAAAGCTGGTTCTCACATTGAGACTTTGGCAGGAATATTCTAGTTGCCAGTTTGAGGCATCCAGGAAAACTGGCATTATATCTTGAGAAGAGGTGGCAAGTCTGTTAAAAGGACATCATTTCTCTGGAACTCCTAGAGAGGCAAACAGACGTGGCAGTTTATTACCTGTAAAGGCCACCAACTGGAGTGACTAAGGACTAGATATCTCACTTTCAGTGAGCTCATATTCACACAGCACAGATTATTTTGCAGTGACCTACAAATTTTGTGCTTTGTTTGTGTTGCTGCCAGTAACAAGAGTTAGTCTTAATATAGAAGAAGGTGAAAAGGCTGGAGAAAAAGTCTTTCTGCTCTTCAGATGATCAAGTAGAAGGAATGATACAAACTTTTTAAAAAATAAAGAAAAAAGAGAACCTACTAGAGGTAAAGAGGAAGAGTGTGAGTCTGTCAGGAGGTTGGTGGGAAGACTTATGTGATCCAGAGAAGCTGAATATTTGGAGCCTTTCTTACTTCTTTTGTCCAAAGGAGATTGTGTGAAAAGGGGAGCAGGAGCAGGACCTGAACTAAAGAAAGAGAAGGAATTGAGAGGATAATTTGGAATCCTTTAGGATTTTGACAAAGATCCGAGAGAGAAAGTTAATAATATAAAGATATTCAGGAGGCCTTGAGAAATTGAAGTGACTTGAGTTGAAGGAGAATGACTCCATCTAAAGGAGGAAAAGAAAGTGAGTAAAGATAGATTTGAAGAGTTGGAGGAGGATATATGGAAGAAGACAATGTGTAGGTTATGAGAAGGAGGAAGAGATGGAATGAAACTGAAGGAGAAGTAAAACAAGAAGAAAGATGTAAAAAAGACAAGATCAAATAAATAATGACAAGTTTAAGGAGAAGGAAAGGACACTTGGCTTACCTATCAAAGAATCAAGAAAACCTATTTTAAAAAAAAAAGCTGTCATGGTGTTAACAAATGCTAAGGAGCTGAGAAAAGAAGTGCCTTGGGGGCAGTGGATAGGGAGTAGGTCTAGGAGTAAGAATAAACTGGGGTCAAGTTCCCCCTTTGTCACATACTTGTTTTGTGACCCTAAGCAAGTCATTTAATCCTTCAGTGTTCCCAGGCAACTCTCTGACACCAAATAGTTGCTAATCTACATTATTCCCCTGCACCAATGAAAACACAAGTCATATACCCTACTGTTCTTGAATTCCTCCTCCCCCAAAGAGGTGAATAGAGTGATAACTCTGGAGTTGAAACTCCCTGAAAACAGATTACCACAGCAGTTGTACAGAAGTGCTTCTCACAAGAAAGATAAAGATTAATAATTTTATTTTTTGTACATATGGGGATCCAGGTAAATTTTTAGTGACCTGAATTGATTTTTTCTGATTCTGTGACTCATGGAAGTCTTCTCTAAGGAGATAAGTCTCAAATTAGGTCCTGAAGGAAATGGTGCACATTGATTGGTAGTGGATAGGCAGATGGACATTCCAAACCAAATAGGCATCATGAATATTCTAATTTACTCTGAAAATGGTTTCTGTTCTATTCTATAATATTGTCTGACCAAGTTCATCAGTGATTATGTTACATTCAGGAATTATTGTACTTGTAGTAATTACCTTTCTGAGATTGGAATATATGACCTACTCACATATCTAGAGGGCAGCTAGGCAACATAGTGGAGAGAGCACTGGACTTTGAATCAGAAAGACTCATGTTTATGAGGTCAAATCTAGCCTCAGACACTTACTAGCTAGGTGACCCCAGGCAAGTCAGTTTCCTTAGCTGTGAAATGAACTAGGGAAGGAAATGGCAAACTGCTCCAGTACTTTTGTTAAGAGAACTCCAAGGGAGGTCCCAAAGAGTCAGACATGACCGAAAGACTGAACAACAACAAATAAAAAGTTCTATCTAGAATTGAAATCTAAGGAAGGTGACTTTAAGAAAAATGAGAGACTTACTGTGAAAGTGTTTGTCAGAAACTGGTAAAGAAGGCACAGAGAGTAATGACATGATACAAATATATTGCAGGTTTTTGGTGATTGTGTGATTTATAATGTCCCATTGTGTTCATTTGTCAGCTTTAGAGGAGTATAAAAATAGGAAGTGAGATTATTCAGAAGGATAAACCCACTGATAGATTTTACAATAATATTTTCTTCTGTGCCAAATTGAATATTGGAGTAGGAATAGTTTACATACCCTGCTCCATTAAGCTATCCTGTGTAATGTATCATTTGGTGGTAAACATCTGACAACAACTAAAAAGCCTTTTTAGTGATTCTCTTCTGGAAATAAAACTACTTATTTTTGTTTTCTTTTTAAAAGATTCTCTGACAAACCTGGGGCTGATGATTCCTGGCCAACCACAGATGAAGAAGAATTAGATTTTAGTATTAAGGTAAAATTTCTTCATGGAATTTTTTTTCTAGTCTTAAATTTCAGTTTAGTGGGTGCTTTGCTTTGTAAAAAAAATTTATTGTAAACCTAATAATCATCAACAAAATCAAACAAAAATAAAATTTTAAACAATATCCTTAGTATTTAACTCCAAATGAATTCAACCCATTTGGAGCCAAATGAGTTAAAAGCAAAAAAGCTTTTGTTTTGTGTCAAGCTTTAGATTTCTTTCAAGTTTTTCCACCTTTAGCTTTGTTTTTTTGTTTTGTTTTGTTTTTTTTACTGAAAAACTAGGTAAAATCAATGTGTGTACAGTTTGCTTTCTGCTGATATCTCTGCATCACTTTCCATATTTCCTTGTAATCTTTGTATTTATTTGTACACTCAAAAGAGTATTAGATTTGGAGTCAGAGAACCTGGGTTCATATACTATGGATACCACTCCTAAATAAATATATGACCTTGGCAAAGTCTTTTTATTTAAGGTCCCTTCTAGCTTTAAATCTATGATCCGTTATGGGATATATTGTTCTCCAAATGGTGGGTATAGAGATTACTTCCAATTTTTACAAATAGAGTAGCTATGAAAGTTTTGTACAGCTAGGTCCTTTTTTTCCTTCCTGTGCTCTTTTTTAGGATGAATTCATAGCAATGGAATCATAGCAATGAAAATCGGTTTTATGAGTCTCGTATGTTGTTCTCCAAAATGCTTGCACTGCAGTTCCACCAGTGGCATATTAGAATTTCCCACAACTCCACAAATTTATAATTTTTGCAATTTTTGACATTCTAGTTGATATAATAAACTTAGGTCAATTTACATTTCTCTACTTATTAGAAGATTATAAAATTTTTCATGAAGTAATTCTGTAATAATGAAACAATTTTTATTCAATCATTGCTTCATTTGAAGACATTTTACTAGATTGAGAGATATGTATCAGATAGTCAATCTTCAATTTTTGTGGAGGTCACATTCTTAGAAAATGGCACAAAAGTCAAATACTTAAACATGTATTCACTGAACATATGAGAAATAGAGCTTAGGTTCTCATGACCACCAAAAATTGTGATCTTTCACTAGAGATTGCTGAATATACCTTTTCGTTTTTTGGGGGGGGTGAGGCAATCGGGGTTGAGTGACTTGCCCAAGGTCACACAGCTAGTACATGTCAAGTGTTTGGTCTGAGGCCAGATTTGAACTCAGGTCCTCCTGACTTCAGGGCTGGTGCTCTATCCACTGTACCACCTAGCTGCCCCTGAATATACCATTTCTAACAGCTCAGCCCACTATGCTTTAGACTAATTTTCTGCCATGTCCCACCCCCCAGGTGGATATGTTCCTTTTGCCCCTTTTCCAGTTTCCTTTTTTGTACTATTTTTTTAATTAGAATTTAAGCTCCTGGAAAGAGGGGCTGCCTTTCCTTTTGCTTACATTTGTATTGCCAGCACTTAACACTATGTCTGACACATACTAAGTGCTTAATTAGCATCTTTTCTAGCTATATAATTTTATGATCCCAGTATTTATTACAATTTTATTATGGTATGATTTGTAAAAGTTGTGTTTAGAATTTCTGCCTTTAAAAAGATTACCATTTCTTGTGTCCGAATCTACTTTTTTAAAGGTTCTATATGATAATGAGATATAGTTATGTAACGTTCTTGTTCAGAGGACCCTATGAGACTTGCACTGCGTTTGGGTAGCATAATTGTTATACAAAACTTGAGTTTTAAAGGCAAACAATAAAACTGTGCCAAGGAATGTTTGGGAAGTTCTTTAATCTACAAGGGTAGGGTGAACAAGACCAGTGAAGTGCCTAGCAGGTACCAGCTACTCCACAAACTTGCAGCATTGTGCTTCTCGTTTTTTTCCCCTATTGTGCATGGCGGTTGTCATTGTGAAAGTGAAAATGAGGTTAATAATTAAAGCATGCAAAATGATAAACCAACTGAATGTTGAGGATTGATTGTATATGTATATTACATATTACCATTATCGAACTTAGTTTATATACTTGTTTAAAATATTTTCCAACCTTTTTCTATTCTTTTAATTTAAAAACATCACTTTTTCTTTGTTGGACAGATCTCTCTATAAACAAACCTATTGATTTTGTCTCTAATAATTCTTCTGTTTAATAAAAAGTATCTTCTGTAGTTGATAAAATTTTTATTCCATTTATTATAACTCTTAATCTTAAATATTTAAATTAATAATATAGTTAGAATTTATTGTAGTGTATGGTATGAAGTATAAATCTAAAACTTTACCTTCTACTTCTTGCCTAAAGAAATCCTAAGCACCATAAAAATTTTACTAGTCATAGTAAAATAGTCTTCTATGACTATGCCTTGTACTTTCCAAACTCCAAGACTTATAGTTAGTTCTTTCCTCCTGAAATGTCTTTCTCTACCATTTACCTTTGGACACTAAAATCATAAATTAATATATTAAGGCCTAGGTCAAATGATTTTTAATTCATGAAATCTTTCTTGATCCCATTTATTTCTCCGTTCCTATATGGAAATAAGCTCTCCCTGTTTTGATGTCCATTAATACCTTAAGTCACATCACATTTCCCATATTTATCACACTGTTTTTTATTGTGGTTATTGGTGTAAATATTTCATAGCTCCCTGGAGATAGAACATCTCTTTTTATCTCCTGTTGAATCTAGGAGAGTAACATACACATAAAATTATTAGTTGAATGAACTGATATTTTTAATGTTTTTTTCTATGTGAATAGACAATATTAATAATGGGCTATATGTAATTAATAATAATAATAGCTAAAATTTATATTGCACTTCCATATGTCAGACACTATGCTAAACACTTCACAATTATTATCTCATTTGACTCTCACAACAACCCTGAGAGGTAAGTACTGCTATTATCCCCATTTTACACATGAAGAAATTGAGGCAAACAGCATTTAAGTGACCTGCCCCCAGGATAGCATATCTAGTAAGTGTCTGAGGGAGAAATTGAACTCAGATCTTCCTGACTGCAGGCTTGTGCTCTATCCATTATTTTTGTTGAAATATCCATCTCCTACCTTTGCAGAACATACTGAGTTTTATTTGGTAGATAATTTTGGGTTTGTGACACTTTTTTTTTATTTTGTAAATATTATGTCCAAATTTCATAATTCCTTGTCTTTTTTTTTTCTTTTTTTTTTGCGAGGCAGTTAGGTTAAGTGACTTGCTTAGGGTCACATAGCTAGTAAATAGCAAGTGTCTGAGGCCAAATTTGAACCCAGGTTCTCTTGTCTCCAGGGCTTGTCCTCTGTGCTGCGCCACCTACCTGCCCCCATAGTCCCTTGTCATAAGAAGTTCTTGAAAAGTTTGCTTTGAATATGTATTCCTTGTTACATGATATATACACTTCAGGCAGCTTGTAGTAAGGAGGCAGTATGACATGGTAGCAATGACTTATGACAGAAGAAAGAAGATAGCAGGGATGGAAGGATCTAGTGAGGGGTTTTTCAGGATTGAGAGACATGGACATGTTTGCAGGCAATAGAGAATGACCTAGAAGATGGCTGAGATTAAAAATAAATGTTAGAATCAGTATGAGAGAAGGGGAAAATCTGTTGGAGAAGATAGGATGGGACGGGATCACCTGAAAAAGTAGAGGGCTCAGCCTTGGTGAGGAGTAAGCCACTTCATCATGTGACATAGGGATGAAGGAGATGGTGGCAGAAGGCATCTGAGTGATTGGAGAGGTAGAAGAGGGAGCTAATGTCAATTGGCCTTCATTTTTTCTGTAAAATATGAAGCAAGTTTCTCAGCTGAAAGTATGGGGGAAGAGGGAACCATGGAAGGTTTGAGAGGGGATGAAAAGGCATGGAAGAGCAGTTGTGGAGGGTGGGATAATTAATTGATGAGGGAGGTATGGTAGGATTGCCTAGAAGCAGTAATGGTCCACTTAAGATTATATAACATAAATTGGTAATGGTTCTACTTGGAATGGTTGCATGATTTTCTGATTTTTAATTGATTTCCTATTTAAACTTATATATTTTATTTCATGCACTTAAACACATTTCTTTGAATAGTGATCCAATGGTTTTACTAGACAGCCAATGAGGCCTATGACACACACAATAAATGTAAAAAACCCCTTTTTAGGTGTTTTTTTTTTTTTTGAGTTGTATATAATACTTGATTCTTGGCATTGATGCAGAAGCAATAAACAGTACATAATAAAATATGACTGCATTAGACTGCATCTTCACAGCTTTTCCTAGAACCTGAGAGTTTCTAGAGGGTAAAGCCCAGTCCTTTCAAGTGCATACATACAACACAAAAATTCCAAACAATAGGACATAGTTTACAGTTGATGTTGAGTACATATTCAGGAGTTCTAGTCCCTAGGTGAAGATGTGAGACCTGAATGCAAGATCTCAGCTTTTTCTCAGCAGTGCAATGAAGGTACTCAAGACCTTGTGTGAACTGAGGTTCTTATAGCCTGAATTTTTTTTCAATTTAGTGGCCTCTTGCTAGCAGGAACCTTTGCTTTCTTCCTGCTGAAGGTGTCAAGTGTGAGTGAACCCAACAACCAGGCCTAGAAAAAGTGAGCCTGACATCAACATTTCCCCAGTGTCCCCAGTCTTGAGACCTTTAGTCAAGTGTCTCTTCCTCCCTTTAGTTTTAAGAAAAGAAGTAATTCAGAGTAATTATTACTATTCCAAAACACATAAAGAAGCTAAAACTAAAGACTAAGGGACTTTAACTCTCTTTATTATAGTCATTTGGATGATACATTGAAGTACTAATTTCTAAAACCTGATATTTTTCAATGATATGACAAAGTATTGAAGAATAAAATTATACCTCTTGCTATATCAGATTCTGGTGAGCAAAATAGTCCAGAAGATTTTATTTTCTATATGATGATCAGACTAAATACATTACATTGGTAAACCTCAAAAAAATGTAGACTGTTAAATGTTAGTATTTTATAGGAATTGATACTCATTATTCTTTTTTTTTCTTGGCAGAAACTCCCCAAGTCGAACTTAACCAAAATAATAAGTGCTTCTCAGCAGATAAGGAAAACCAGTAAGCCATCTGAGGAATTTCCACTCTTATATTATTATTTATTGCCTTGAAATGATAGATTTGTTCATGTACTCTTTATTTGTTTTTAATATAGTAGATGAAAAGAGTAGCACTGTCAATACAGAACATAGAACTTTTCTTGGGCACAATCAATCAGATAGCGAAAAAGAAGATGTGACAGATTCCCTTCCTAAGCCTTCATCCCAAGCCCAGTGCTCCCCTCATCCTGTCCATCCCTCACTTGGCTCCTTTTCAAGGTCTTCCCAGATGATGTCTACTCTTCTGGGCATTAATAAGGTAATTATATTGGCTATGACTCCTATCCTTCTTTCCATATTTGTTTACCCTCTTTCCTTTCCTCCCTCAGTCATCACCACTTCATGAAGATGGCAAGGATTCTAGGAATGGAAGTCCTCAATAGTCACATCAAAAGAAAACTCAGGGAAATTTACATATTGAAAATAAAATATTGATGGGTCCAGACAATTCATGAGGCAATTATCAGGAAGAAGGATTAGAAAGCGATCAAGAGGGAATGTAGCCAAGATAGCCGAGTAAAAGCAGTGACTTGCTTGAGCACTCCCCCAAACCCCTCTAAATACCTGTAAAAAAATGGCTCTAAACAAATATTTAGATCAGCAGAACCTACAAAAAGACAGTGAAACAAATTTCTAGTTGATAGGAAACGTCTGTTGTTCTGAGCTAGGAGAGTGTGCAAGCAAAGACAGAGCCCCAGAAAACCTGGAGCAGACCTCAGGGGACTGAATCACAGGCATCTATGGCACTTTCCAGACTTCTAAAACCACAAACACCAAAAACAACTTAGAAAGTCAGTAGGAAAGGTCTGTTGGACCTGGGTGAAAGAGGAGCGTGGTCCTGTCCCAGCCCTAGAATGGTCCCAGGGTGGCAGCAGCAGCTGCTTCCACAGCTCTTGGCCCACAGACAGTGTAGGGATTGAGCAGCTGATCAAAGGGGGACTGCAGGGATCTCTTTGCTGGCTCTGAGGCAGGATTCTCTTGCTTTGCCTATGCTTGGATCTGGGTTGCAGTCCTGGGTTGTGGTTCTGGGGTGAGGAGGAACGCTGACATGGCAGAAGTTGTGGTGGCAATGGAGGCTGAATGCTCCTCACACAGTTCCAAGGCAGAAAAGAGTACTTGTGGTCCCTCATAGACCAGAGCACAGGTCAGGAAAAGAGTAAACACCTCTCCTTTGATCATACCACCTTGGAAGAACTGAAAACTTACAGGTCCCTAGAAGTATCTCTGAAAACAGCTGCATGAAATCCCCCAAGCTTGGGACAGTACACCCTCCACACTGCAAACAGAGCCCTACCTTAACAAAAAGTTAAAAAGTCAAGTAATTGGCTTAGAACATTAGCAAACACAGAAAAAGACTATAGAATCTTTCTTTGGTGACAGAGAAGATCAAAACATAAAACAAGAAGAAGATAACAAAGCCAAAGCTCCTGCATCCTCCAAGAAAAGTATGAATTGGTCTCAGGTCATGGAAGAGCTCAAAAAGGATTTTGAAAAGCAAGTAAGAGAAGTAGAGGACAAACTGGAAAGACAAATGCGAGTGATGCAAGAAAATCATGAAAAACAAGTCAACAGCTTGCTAAAGGAGACTCAAACAAATACTGAAGAAAATAATACCTTAAAAAATAAGACTAACCCAAAAGACAAAAGAGGTCCAAAAAGCCAATGAGGAGAAGAATACCTTAAAAAGCAGAATTGGCTGAATAGAAAAGAAGGTCCAAAAGCTCACTGCAGAAAATAATTCCTTAAAAATTAGAATGGAGCAAGTGGAAGCTAATGACTCTATGAGAAATGAAGAAATTATAAAACAAAATCAAAAGAATGAAACAATGGAAGGCAATGTGAAATATTTCATTGGATAAACAACTGACCTAGAAAATAGATCCAGGAGAGATAATTTAAAAATTATTGGAGTACCAGACAGTGATGATCAATAAAAGAGCCTAGATATCATCTTCCAAGAAATTAATGAAGAAAACTTCCCTAATATTCTAGAACCAGATGGAAAAATAGAAATTGAAAGAATCCACCAATCACCTCCTGAAAGAGATCTCCAAAGGAAACCTTCTAAGAATATTCTAGTCAAATTCCAGAGTTCCCAGGTCAAGGAGAACATATTGCAAGCAACCAGAAAGAAACAATCCAAGTATTTTGGAAACACAATCAGTATAACACAAGATTTAGCAGCTTCTAAATTAAGGGATCAGAGGGCTTGGAATATGATATTCCCAGAGGTCAAAAGAGATAGGATTATAGCCAAGAATCACCTATCTAGCAAAACTGAGTATAATCCTTCAGAGAAAAAAATGGACATTCAATTAAATCAAGAACTTTCAAACATTCTTGATAAAAAGACCAGAGCTGAATAGAAAATTTGACTTTCAAATACAAGACTCAAGAAGCATGAAAAGGTAAACAGGAAAGAAAAATCATAAGAGACTTATTAAAGCTGAACTGTTTATGTTCCTGCATAGAAAGATGATATTTGTAACTCATGAGAATTTTCTCATCATTAGGATAGTTGGAGGAAATATGTATATTGACAGAGGGCACAGGGTGAGTTGAATATGAAGGGATGATATTTAAAAAAATAAAATTTAAAGGATGATGGAGGATTGTACTGGTAGAAAGAAGGATAAAGGGAAAAGTAGAATGGGGTAAATAATTTCACATAAAAGAGGCAAGAAAAAGCTTTAACAGTGGATGGGAAGTGGGGGAACTAAGAGGGAATGAGTGAATCTTATTCTCATTGGATTTGGCTTAAGGAGGGAATAACATACACAATCAATTGGGTATGGAAATCTATTTTACCCTACAATATAGTGGGAAGGGGATAAGAGAGGGGGAGATGATAGAAGGGAGGGCAGATTGGCGAGGGGGTAATCAGAAGCAAACACTTTTGAGGACGGACAGGATCAAAGGAGAGAATAGAGTAAATGGGGGGGCAGGATAGGATGAAGGGAAATATAATTAGTCTTCCTCAATATTACTATTATGGAAATATTTTACATGACTACACATGTATAACCTCTATTGAATTGCTTGTCCTCTCAAGGGTGGGTGGGTGGGTGGGGAGGGAGGAACGGAGAGAATTTGGAGCTTAAAGTTTTAAAAACAAATGTTAAAAATTGTTTTTACGAGCAACTGGTAAATAAGATATACAGGCAATTGGGTATAGACATCTATCCTGCCTTACAGGAAAATAGAAGGGGAAGGGGATAAGAGAAGAGAGTGAGGGTGATAGAAGGGAGAGCAGATTGGGGGAAAGGGTATTCAGAATGCACACCATCTTGGGGTGAGGGGAGAGATGGGGAGAAAATTTAGAACTCAAAATCTTTTGGAAGTGAATGTTGAAAACTAAAAATAAATTAATTAATAAAAAATTTTTAAAAATTTTAAAAAATCATCTGCCAGGGTGGGAAATAATAAAGAAAGCAGCCAAGAGTAAGGACTGTTAGAAGATTATGAAGATGAAGTGGCAGAGGAGGAATTCAGTCAAGATGGCCATGATGCAGGAATTCAGTCAAGATGAGCAGGATGCTGTAGATGGAGAGGAAGGATCAGAATATGTAGATACAGAGGAAGAAGAAGAAAGTCAAGGTGAAGATTTTGAAAATATAAAGGGAAAAGAGGGTTTGAGTAATCAACAGAATCTCTCTCTTCATACTATTAAATGATAGAAATGAAGCTAAACGTAAAATGAGTAAAGAAAAGCAAGTAACGAACATTCCTACAGAATTTCCCGTGTCAATTATAATGGATATTTATCAAAATTTAAGTGCAAACTTATATGCCACTGCTCTTAAGGTAAAAAATAACAAAATGTTTTGTTTGGTTAACAAATGATATGAAGGGCAAGATTTAGATCTAGAATGAACCTTACAGCTTACTTAGTCCAAACTTAGGTGTTCTGTTCTCATAGGTGAATTAGAACAAGAAGAATATGTGAAAAAATATTTTAGGCCATAATAACTTTTTGTATTTATTCAAATACTAAGTATCTACCACATATTGTATTTAAGTGTATAAAATGAATGAAAGTGGGATTTTTGATTGATTATAAACTAAAACAAAGTTTCCAGTAATAGAATTATAAAAAGAGAAGAAACTTTGAAAGGTTCAAGTAGTATGTATATTTGCTCTTATTTAAAATGCATATGTACCATCCCTAACATTCTATTTTTAAACACTCAGAAAAAGTGATTCCATGATATTTTCTCAGACCTTTGTAATTTTTTACCTTAAGAATTGTCAAACCATGAAATTGAATTTCCTTTTTATTTGAGACCAATTTTAAGCTTACCTCTCTTTTGTTCTTCAGATGGACACTAGTTCTTTAAGGTAATAATTAACATAGAACAGAGTAATAGAAATCAGAACTTAAATAATGATCTTACTATAATCCATCATCTTCTAACCTTTTTTTTAAAGACATCTAATTTCCAAAACTTTCATTTCTGTTCCATGCAGCATATATTGTTAGCTCACATTGTATTGTGACCTAATATAGAAGTGGGACAAAAAGTGTCATAATCTCAAATTCCAAAATTTCATTTTCAATTTCTCCTTTATATTTTAATAGCAGTCATAATAACCCCAAGTTTTAATAATTAAGTTTGACAACTTATTGCACATTTAAAAATTTGTATTATGTGCAAGGCATTTTGTTATATGGAATTCAGAGACCAAGAAGACTCAGTTCTAGCCGTCATGTACTATACAACTTAATTGTGGATCTAAGGCTTCCACAAATAACTTTACTTTCTCATAGCTATTGAAAAAGCTTAAAAACTAACAGTGTTATTAATCTACTTGAAGTATTTAGGATATTCATATTTTAAATGAAACTAAAGTTAAATCTATTTCCTCTTCATGTGTCTCTGTTTTAGTCAAGCTAGATTACCCATCATTTTCTGAATGTACTTGATCTTTTCCTCCCTCAATAGTTTTCCTTACACTGTTCCCTGTGTTTGGAATATCTTCCTTGCCCTCTTTTTTGCCATCTGAAATTCTAGCTATCTTTGAAGGCCCAAATCAAATGATACCACCTATGTAAAGCTTTCACTGGTCTTTCTAAACTCTTATAGCTCATACATTTTGAATACTTTTCACAGATTTTTCTTTCTTTCATATTTATATCTTAGTAAACAGTGATTAATTACCTGCTATGTGCCAGGCAGTGTGCTAAGTGCCAGGGATATAAATTTAAAAAAAGAAAGACAGTACCTGCCCTCAAGGAGCTTATGATTTAATGGAGAAAGACAACGCAAAATACCAAAGGAAATCAATAATCTGAGAGGGGAAAATACCTGGTTCTGAGATATGGGGGAGAAGTTAGAGAACTCCACAATAGTGCAGCAAAGTGAGAAATGAAGAATTATCTCTACCAAGCCCTCTCCTTCAATGGAGGCTTTGAAATTCCTCCAGTCATGGGGCCAGTGGGTAGTGGTTAGGTGGACTACCAAGGTTGATGGAATCTTGCAGGATGATGAGGTTTCCCCAATCATAAGATTCCTAGGGCCTAGTGGAGAAGTCCCAAAGTTGTAGATAGAAATGAGAAGATATCTATGCTGGGCTCTCTCCTTCAGTGGAGGTTTTGGAGTTCATGGTTCTTCCCTCCAATCAGAGAGTATCTTATCTTCCCTACTAGATTAGTAATTGAGCATAAGAATTGTTTATTATTTTTCTCATTCCTAGTACTTGAATTTGTTGAAGGAAGAATTAAAACATTCATCAGCATATAGAATGCTATAAATTGATATTTCTACTTAGGGAGTTTTTCTATAAATCAAATGTCTAAAATAAGTGATTGGAAAAATCTAATTCTTTGCATGATTTGATTGTTAGGTCCATCAACATCTGGCAATTACAATGTGTTACATAGGTTCGCATTATTCATACTAGCAATAGATTAAAGAAAAGTTTTGGAGGACACTGTATATTTCATTCTCATTAATTATAGGAAGAATCACCAGAGTCAGAGGAGGAAGAAAAGGAAGATGTTGTATCAGTTGACAATGGTACTGGAGAACGAACACCTCCTGAAACTCCAAATCTTCCCAATGAAGTTCAGGCTCACCATACATCAGAGAGTTGTGCTGTTAGAAAAGGCAAGTTATTGTTTGATAGGACCTGGGATTTCATCATTGTAGGAAATTCCCATTGAGGAAATTTCTACCAATGCATATTGGCAACTGTTCTACAGCTTATATATAGTCTTACCAAGTACCCTGGGGCACTAATAGGTTCATTGTCTTGCCTTTGGTCACACAGCCAATATATCTGAAAAAGGACTCAAACACAGGTCTTTCTAACTTCGAAACTGTCCTTGTATCCACTGTGCTGTGCTACTCCTTACGTTGTAGAATATGCTTACAAAGCTTTCTTTTTGTAAAATGCCATTATAAACCTGTAAATTTAATGTCTATTGACCTAACTCTGAAGTATGTTAAATATAAATAATCTTTCTCTTTCTCGTTTTTACCCATAATATTAAGTGTATTTTAAAAAAGATTTTTGTTATATAGTCTTGTATAAAATTACCTCAGCCCCTAACTTCTTTCTTTGAAGGATCCTCCTTTGCCCATAATTCCTAAATCCCAGTGTTGCTCTCTTATTCTGGTTTTGTCTCCTTGAATTTTTTTGTTGTCATTTTCATTTAATTTTCCCTGAAGCAATTAGACATATTTGAACAGTTTTCATGTTCTCAGTAGCACATATTGTAATTATTAATGTGATTTTTTGTCTCTGCTTTATAGATATGATGTCAGCATTAGGATTGGAAGAGGAAGAAGATGCAGAATCACCTTGGGATTCAGAGGTATCTTCTCAAATTATTTTGAAATTTCAATATTGATTGTTTCCTTTAAAATTACATTGCAGATTTACTTATTTATTAATCATTGCAATTGCCTAGGTGGAATGAGAACTAGAATTTTTGAGCTGGAAGGGACCTTAGAGATAATCTAGTCCAACTACTTACATTTAATACATGAGGAAGCTGATCCCCAGAGAAGTCAGATAACTTGCCTATGGTCTTACACCTGGTTAGTGACAGAACCAAGAATAGAATCCAACGGTCCTAACTTGCAGGCCATGCACTTTCTACTCTACCCGTTAATACCTTACCAATTTCAAAATGTCACTCATTTATTTACTCAGTCATTCAGTGAACAAATGCCATAGTACCATATGCTGTTCTAGGTATTAAGATATATTCAAGTAAAGTAAGAGACTTTAGACAAAGACTTAGTATACAACCCTGCTTCCCTACTACATGATTAGCTTAACTTTAAGTGATGGGATAGGGCACAGGCACATATAAGATGATTTTATGGTCCACAGTCAGCAAATTTCTCCACAACTTGTATGCACACCTGCTGAGAGCAATACAGAGGGAAATGGCAGAGTAAATTGTGGTTAGTCAGAAAAGCTTTCATGAAAGAGGTAATAATTCGGACTTAATGATAGGGTCAAATTTAGATTGGCAGAGAGGAGGGAAGAAAACCTTTCAAGAGAGAGGATACGTAGAAGGAAGTAGGAGTGGTTGCAAGGAATGTAAAGAGTGGGGTTTAGCTGTAACAGATGGCCTATCATAAGGAATAGAAATTATTTTCTATAAATAAGATAGTGTGAGTTGAGGCCTTGAATGATAGCTTAGGATTTGATTTGCATCAAGGAACCATTGTTGTTTCTTATGCAGTGTAATAACATTTTGAACTTTGGTATTTTAGGAAAGCTTTTTGTGATCAGTATAGAAGATTAACTGGAGCAGAGAGGTGCATTATAGGCAAAAAAAAAAGATCTTGTTTCAATATATGAAATAAATTAGAGTAATGGTGGAAATAGGAAAGGTTAAATGATAACTTGTTTATTTTGGAGAAAGATTCAGCAGTATGTAGCGATTACTAGGCTACAGAGAGCGAAGAAGATAACTAAGTTTTTAGGCTGAGGACTTGGGAAAATGTAGATATCACTAATAGACAAGGAAGTTAGAAAGGGTCAGGGGGCTTGCATGGTGACAGGCTAAGGTAACTCTTTAATATGTTAGTTCTCAGGAAATGTTTAAATGGAGTTATCTCATAGAGTGCTAGAATTTTAGGAACACGAGAGTAATGTCAGATGGTTTTCCATGTCTTCTGACAAAGGGAGTCAGAAATCTGGGTCACACAAGAAAATCCCTTGTAATTGAAATATGCAGAGTTGAAGGGATTAACTCACAGCTTTATATTAGAAATAATCAAAGGAAGAAGCATGAAGTATGAAGACGAGAAAAGGACAGTGAGTATGCTTGTGCTTTTTGGTGTATGTAGAATGTTGAGTGGAGACTGTGGAGTTAAATGTAGAGTGAAGACCAGGTAACAGAGAGACAAAAAAATCATGATTCACAAGAGGTTTGGAGGCCATGATACGTATTAGACATCTAGCATGAGGCCAGGAAATAAAATGAAGAGAAAAAAACATAATCCAAGTGTGGGAGACCTCTAGAGAAGGTGGGAATCATATTGAATACTCCACTATCAACAATGAATTTTTCAGTAGATATGGTTGGTATGATTAAGCTAAAATTTTTAGCCATTCTGTCATATGTGTGTGTATGTATATATGTATATGTGTGTATGTATATGTATATGTGCACATGTGTGCATATGTAATATAAACCTATATCAGTTTGAACTGTGCAAGGCTTTGTTGTTCAGTAATTTCAGTCACGTCTGACTCCATTTGAGATTTTCTTGGCAAAGGTACTAGAGTGGTTTGCCATTTCCTTCTCCAGCTCATTTTACAGATAAAGAAACTGAGGCATACAGGGTCACACAGCTAGTAAGTGTCTGACACTAGATTTGAACTTATAAAATGAATCTTCCTGACTTCAAGCCCAGGACTCTATTGACTGTGCCACCTTTTCTAAGGTGATTATATACTGTTCATCAGACCCCAAATATTATTTTCTTTCCCCGTATTGTTAGTTTTTGGAAAATAGTATTTTAAATGTACTATAAAATATTATAACTATCATAGCAATAATAACTTAACTTATCATTATTATTATCATTATCATAACTTTATCATTACTTACCAGTAAGCCATTTTTATATGAAAAAGTGTACTCCAGCCTACACCACTACATTTACCAGTGTTATCTCATCTATAGACAAAAGAAAGAAGAATAAATTTGAAAAGTGTAAGCATGATGTTATATAAAAAAAAATTTTATTTTCTGTAGAACTCTCATTTCTAAGTGGGAAGTTCACAATTTACCAACAGAAAGCATTCAGGGCTGCTTTCTACAGTGAGCTTGCTAACTGTGTTGTTGATCTTTTCATTTAATAAGTGTACCACTGAAAGTCTTCCCAGAGGATCTGCCAGGCATGTACCTACAGCCACAAATCAAACAGTAAAAGACAATATTTCAATGGAACAACACGAAGGTAAGATTGTACAGTTAGATTTGTTATATAGTTAGGTTTGTTTAAAAAAAAATAAAAGTGGTATTGGGGAGGAGGTGGCAGGGAAGTGACTCTATCATCACATATGTAGAAGAAAAGAAGGTGGGCAAAGTCTTAGTGCCACTAACAGGACTGCCTGAGCAAAATGAGAAAAAGGATATGAAAAGGAATACAATAGGAGAAAAGTAGGGAAGGAGAGGTATTAGAAGGAGAATGGAAGAGTACAATGGAAAGAGAGAGAATAGAAATAGATATGTTTGATATGGAGTGACAGATTGGCTCTAATTAATAATTGTCTCTGTTAATAATCAACCAGCCTTTGCATGGTGGTTAGTTTTAGGAAACAGAATGAGCTCCATTTCAGTTTAATTAGTTGGTTATGCAGATGTCCTTCCTGTGATACAAGCCCATGTCACCTCATTTTTTGGTGATAGAGAATAGACCTGTAATTCCATTTGTATGAGGTAACTCCCTCTAGTATCTCAGAGACTTGACTAGAGTACTGAAAGGTTAAGTGATTTGTTAATAGTCACATAGCCAATATCAAAATCAGAAGTGGGACTCGAGCTCAGGCCTTCCTCATTCTAGGGCCATCTCTCCATCCACTCTGCCTCTCAAACTTCACTGGTCTCTCATCTCCTGGCTCTGAAACCTTCGGTTATTTATTTCATGTCTATCAGATAAAATGGAAAGTGAAGAAAATGTGTTATAAACTTCATTTTTAAAAAATCTTAAGTATCTGCTTACTCAGAAATATAGATGATAGAAGATGGCTGTATTGGAACTAGGAAGAGAAAGCAACCAAATTTGCTTTCCTAAATTGCTAGGTGGGGTCTGAGGGCTTCAGTATATACTGGGTGTTCTTTTTTTTTTTTCCCAGCCAAAGACAAGGTTAATTAGAACATCCATCATATTAGGCAAACCCTTAAAGAGTCTGAATGTTAGTGAGCTATTGGCTAGATTTTAAGAATCTAAGCATCTTAATGGAGACAAGATGGACCTTATATCCAGAAAGAGTATGGGAGGGATCTAGGAGTGGCCAGGTAGTCTATGAAGTAATAGAACTCTAGGAACCTGGACCACTTGGCCAAGGGAGAATGGAACCTGGATAGGATTAAGGGTGGGAGGTGATGTGGGACCTTAGGGAGGTAAGACAATGGAAGGCTAGGCTAGGTTAAGGGTAAGAGAGAATTGGGAGGTTGGGTATAGGCAATAACAAAAGGCCAGTTGATGGGATTATAGCCTCAGGCTAACTACAGAGATTTGCCATGTGGGAAAGTCCAGGGTTTTTCCTTTTTGGTTTTTCCTCATCATTCCCCCCTCAAACAAATGGGACCCAAATTCTTTTAGGGTAAGGGGTGAAGGTCTTGGTTTCTGAAACTGCTTCCTGCTGGCAAGGGGCATAGAGTTGTCCCTGCCTCGACGGGGACCTAAAGAGGAGGTTGACTGGGGGGAATGATGGGGGTTCATTGGCTGGTACCTGCTGTTTGCTATCAATTGTAGGTGAATGGCCTATATTGTGGAAGACACAAATCTGACAGAAAAGACTGCAGGGCCCAGATATGACAAGATAGAACATCCTTAGCTCTGTTTGCATTCAGATGATTCAGTTTTCCAACCATGCGGTCTCAAATCCACCTCATAGCCAGACTCAGGAATAGCCAGGTGGGTAACATTCCTTTTCAAAGGAACATAATGGGGAAACTGAGCCAGGAGGATCCCATCTTAGACTGAGGCTAAAATTGTCCTCTCAGCTTTTCCCAATGCTGACTTCCCACCAGTATCACATTCTCTGAGTAGCTTATGGCATTTCTCCCAGATGGTGGATTATTGATTATCCACGGATTATTGTGATCCTTCAGACAATTCAAAATAAAATCCTATGAGCTTTTACCTCACACAGCAAGTTTCACTAATCACAGCTTAGGAAAAACTTTTCCAAGCTTTACATCTCAAACTTAAATTTGTCCTGGTGTAAAAAGCCACTCATTAAAGATTTCTATACACTTGCAAATTCTCAGCAAGCCATAACCTAAACAAGCTTTTTGGCTAGTTTATACATTAAAACAATAACCAAAAATAGCCAAATTATTTTAGCACTAACCAAATTATGGAAAGTTGCTTGACATAACTGATAGAAAAAGTTCACCAATATGAAACTTGAAACAAACTCATTACCAATCAGGTGACTTCAATTTTGTTAAATGCATTTCCAAATTACTTTACACAGAGAATCAACATCTCATCATTAACAATTAAAATTACAAATTTAAAAGAGCATGCTTACCCAAGTTCGGAGGCTAGTTTCTTTACCTTGAGCAGGATGTGCTGAACCTGGGTGATGCTTCCAGGCAAAGGTTGCTCTAGGACCCAAGGCCATTGCCAGGGGGGCCCATGCTGTAGCTGCTGCCCCTCCTTCCTCCTTCCTTTCCCAGGTGGGGGAGGGTAAAATCAAAGGTGAGGGGTAAAGGGTGAAACTCTCTTCTCTTATGAGAGGGGTTAACAGATACCCTCTTCACTCAAGGGAAGGGAGAGGGACAAAGGAATAACCAAGGTTGTAAGGAGGAGTTTCAAAATTCCTTAATGATCAGTCACAAAACCTCCAGAATCCCAGTGGACTGAACGCCTGAGAGCATCAGGCTGAGTACAAGACTGCCTCGTAACTATCTGCCTGAAAAGCACCTCCAAGCCTTATTGCTTGAGAGTGACCCCAACTGCAGAGCAAGAAAGAAGGAGGTAGGGGCTTACATACCTTCCAGTCTTGGCTGGAGAAGAACTTGGGGTTAGGCAGTTTCCCATATGGGCCACCAAAATCTTGAGGTTTAAGGGTGCTGGGACTCCAAAATCACAACACATAGGTCCTGCCTGAAAGAATTCAACCCAAGCCTTCTTTCAGCCAAAGACAAGGCTTATTAGAACATCCTTCATATTGAGCAGACTCTTAAGGAGTCTGAATGTTAGTGAGCTATTGGCTAGATTATAAGAATCTGAGCCCATGGCTAGATTATAAGAATCTGAGCAGTGGCTAGAGTTTAAGAATCTAAGCCCTGAGTGTTCTTATTACTTACTTTTACATGTTTACATGTCTCCCCTCCCCAAATTAATTTATTCAAGAATAGATTATGCTTTTTGCTGTCTTCATTCTTGGCAGCTTTCAGCTTACTTTCCTGCATGTTGGCATCCAGTTACATAGTCTAAGGATATTAAAATGAGGTGGCCATAGGATAAAATACAAACAAATAAAGATTTCCAACAACTAAGCAGAAAATATCACTTGCCTGCAGACACTTGGGAGATAGAGTGCTTGCTTCTAGGGGCCTTGACAATAGGACTCTAACCAGCCTTAATTCATACTGCTCCTCTTCACTCTTCTTCAGCCAAACTGTTCTATTACTTATTCTCTATATTGTTCAGCCCTGTGCTACTTCCATGAAGCCATTTAGGCCATCAGTTGAAATCTCTCTCTTCCTTCAAAAACTTTCTGAGGTCTAAAATCCATGAAGCTTTCCTGGGTTTTCCTAGTATTCCTCACAGTTATTTCCCAATATATTGATTTGTTGGTTTCTTTTAAAGGTATACTTATTATAAGCATCATCAACTAATGTTACGGAGCACCTACTACTACATAACACTATAATCCATTCCAAGGTTTACTAAACTTAGACACAACAGCCATTGTTGTTTCTGAACTTTTCATAAAGGGAAACATAGAACAAATGTAAAATAGTAACAAAAAGAATTATATGTAAATGTTCATTTACCCCGAAGGACCCATGAGTTCACTGGTCTAGACTCTAGTCTTAGATGCCTTGGAAACTGAAACAGATTGGGGCTGACTTCATTTCATTACCCCACCTTGTCTGAGTTATATGCAGTCTTCTTCATTAATTTCTGAGGCAAAAAAAAAAAAAATCACCTTATTACCAGGCTTTCAATGATGCCCACACAGAATACTCACATAAGGACAAGCATTGCTAACTTCTAGCACATAGGCTATCCCTCTCTCCTGGAAATTAAACACGTGTTCTAGTTGTTGATGGAAATTAGAGTATTTTCTTCTTCAATACATGAGAGAAGAACAATAAAGCTATACTTAGAGACATATTAGGCAATTTGTCTATCCTTTTTCTGTCCAGAAGTATAATTAATGTCTTTTTTAGCCCAGGTGAGTAAGTAAAAACATTTACACAGGAGTTAGTTATAATGCTTATGTTAGTGATGCATATAGGATTAATAATGTGCTTAGTGTTGCTTTGGAAGTACTTGTTTTAAAACTTCTTTCAATTTCTTAATATTTTTGTGGACTGACGTATAGTAAACCTAATTTTATAATTTAGTAAACAATTTCTTAAACCTTTTTTGGACTGATATATAGTAAACTAATTTAATATTGTAAAATATACAATGCTTTCAGAACTTCAAATTTTGTTTTCTGAGATTTATTGTGAACATGTAAAAAGTTTTGTTTTCCATTAATTATATATGTTGAAAGGTTTTTATATGTTAATAACATTGAATTAGTAATTGAGATGATTACAACAATTTTTCTTTTTTAAAATAACTCAAAATTGAAAGTTTTTGTACATCATTTCTTAGATGTATTTTATATACCTTCTTTCATGAATGGATCAAGAAGCTTTAAGATGGATAAACTAATGGATATGAGAAGTATAGGCATGCCAGTAGGCAACATGGGTATGGAAGAAATGAAAATGTATTATTAACTATTATTCTACAAGTGTACATCTATGTGTATGTATTCAGAACATTTATTTCTAGCCCTTTAGTTCTGTGATAAGAATGTGGTTTATAGATTGCTTTAGATTCTATTTTGTCTTTACTGTTTACATAGTGCCTGATTTTGCAAATTATATAACTAATTAAGGAATCACCCACAGTATGAGCACTTGTAGTATAATTGCATTAATCACTCTCATTGCTTGGAAGACATGCTGCTGCATTAGAGCATCAACTTTGTAATTAATCCCCTGTGAGACTTGAATACCCATCTTTTAAAAAGGATGACCTTTATGTGTGTCATTGATGAGCATGCTTAAATATTGGTATATGTACACATATGTATTTGAGTCCCTTGAAATCTGATGTATTTGAAATGTAAATTGCATGTTGTGTCAACACTGTATTCTTGTTTTATTTCAAGTACTAATAATTGATTCCAATTACTGTCGTGCAAATGTCATAATAAGAATTATACGAAATTAAAACATTCACTTTTTAAATCCTATAATGGGAGCTAACAAGCATTTGCATTTTGCATGAAGTTGTGATTGAATTACATTGTTAAAATACAATTGATGATAAAACTTTTATTCTTTTTTCAGATTATCTTGAGAGACATCCTAATTTGAAGGTAATAACATTGATGCTTTTAATTTATTATCCAATACTTGCTGAAAACTTTGACTATAACCATCTTGTTCTTTAATTATCTTGTTTCATAGCCCCTTCAACCCACTATTGAAATGAAAGATTCTTTCACAAACCAAGAAGCAGAAAAAGGAGTTAAGGAAAAACAAAAGTCACGTAAGTGTCATAATTCCATAATTTAGGAATAAAGTAATTATATTTTAAAGAATTTTCAATATTCATTTTTCTTTTTTCTTCCTTTCCTCCCCACTTGTATTACAGATTTAATGGAAGAATTTGGTTTAGATGATGCAGATGACATGGATGGTATTTTCCTTTTTTCCCGTTCTTTATGAGTATGAGAATAAGTGAATTTTTAAAAATCATGTCTAATAGAAGATGTTTCCTGTAGTCTTCAGGTTTTTACTTTTGTGTTTTGAACACTGTATTTCAAGTTGTATTTTTATACTTCCTGGCATTTTTGTATATTGCATGAAGGCGCATAAATCCAATTATACATATACTCCCAATTGAAGTTTACATCCATTAAGCAACTATTATGTATCACGTGTATATCAAGTGCCCACTGTTGTACTGTAGGACACAAAGATAAAAACAAACAGTTCTTTGCTTCAAGGAATTTACCTTCTATGAAGGCATACAACATATAAACTATGTTACAAGGTCTGGAGTAAAGGAGGTAAAGGAGAGAAATAAAAGTGCTCTAGGAAAATTGAGGGGCGAGAGAGAGCATGAAAAAGGATAATGGTTGTGGAAGGAAGATTTCATAGCTGTGATGTCCACTGAACTGCAGCAATAAGGCAAGAGAGGCCTAGTTAAATGCCTTCAGAAGACGACTTGATAGCTTTGTGTAGAATGGACCAGAGAAGGTAGGAACCAGACATAAGAAGATTAGTTAGTAATTTATTACAAAAATCCAGTTGATGAGGTTGTGAAGTAGGAGGATGGATATGGGAATGAAGAAAAAGGAGAGGATGACAGATATTATGGAGGTAGAATCAGTGGGATATAGCAACTTTTGGAAATGTGTCTGTCTATATACACGTACGTATATATTTGGATGAGAGAAGTGTCAAAAATATAGCTCCAGATGACTGTGAAGATGACCTGTATTTAACAAAGATAGAAAATGTTAAAGGACTGATGACTTCAGAGGTAAAATAGAGGAGGAAAAGGAAATAATGAATTCAGGCATGATCATGTTGAATTTGAAGGTACAGGAGGACTTGCAGGCTGAGAGGTCCAGAAGCCAGTCCTAAAATGTGGTGTTCAAAACTAAGCACAGTATTCAGGTGTGATTTGACCAAGATCAGCCAAACTAATATCTCCCTTTCTCTGGATATTATATCTCTTTTAATGAAATTTAAAATTGCTCTAGCTCTTTTGGCTGCTATATTGATTCATATTGAGCATATAGTCCAACAAACTCTGACAAACATTTATCTATCCATACTTCTGCCTTGTGTTTTTACTTGTGTTTGCCATTTTGTCCACAAAGATGACATGAGGGAATTTAGGTAAACTATAATGGCAATAATCCTCTGGTCAGTCAGTCTAGTAACCCTGTCAAAATGTGAAGACAGTCTGGTGTTACCTGTTCTGACCACTTCCCAGGGAAATCATGAGAGTGGATAAGATCACCAACAAAGAATGTCAGATTACCTTTGAGGCAAGGGACTTCAACAGTGCCTGAGGCTTTGTAATGTCAAGAGATGAAGACTCAGAAAAAGGCTATCAGATTTAGCAGTTAGGATACCATTAATAACCTTGGAGCAAGCAGTTTCAGTAGAAGCCAGTACAAGCCCAAAGCCAGACAAAAGGGTTTGAGGAGTGAATATAAATAACTCCAGGAATTAGACAGTGAAAAGGAGGGGACATATTGGACAATAACTTGAAGAGATGCCATGTGTAAGTGAAGGATGGTAGAAACTTTAAACACCCAGAAAATTAAATGTTTATTTTATATTCTGGTGTTTTTCCCTTTCATACATCATTGTCATTAATTTGCACTTTTTGAAACTGTTATAAAAGTAGTCTTATCTTATTTTATAAGGGAATACTGTGATTTTCATGCTAAATTTGTAATACACATTGAAAGTTATAAGATTAAGCTTCGAGAAGTTAGATTATTCTTTGTTTTTTTTTTTTGCTTTTTACAGGTGTTTATTTACATGAAATGAGATCATCTATCCTGTAATAGGCTTAGATACATTCATTAGAATCAGATGACAGAAATCTTAACTAGAATATTCTTGATTGATCCCAACCTTATTCTCTTTTATTCCAGATTCAACTTCTCAAAATCCCCTTAGATTATTCCTTATTCTCTTCTGCTCCTGTATCTAATAGCCCTTCTTTTCACCAAAGTCAAGCTCTGTGTTTGAGCCTGATTCCAAACTCTTGTATATGTTCCATCAGTTGCTTCCACAGTTATCTCTCTAAAGATTCATTCCCCATTTCCTTCAGCATGCCTGGGTTCTTCTTTATCATTATTTGAGCTTCCAGTGAGTTACAGTCTTTTTGCTGGTAGAGAGTCTTCCTCTGTGTCGATGGATGCTGACTGATCAGGACTATGGTTGCTGAAGATTGGGGGCTGGGAAAGAGGAGGGGGGGCTGTAGCAATTTTAAAAATAAGATAACAATGTAGTTTGCCTCATCAATTGACTCTTCCTTTCACTTGAACACTTAGAGGCCATTGTAGGGTTATTAATTGGCCTAATTTCAATATTGTTGTGTCTCAGGGAATAGGAAGGCCAGAGGACAGGGCAAGAGATGGGGAATGGCCTGTCTGTGGAGCAGTCAGAAAGCATATAATATTTGTCAGTTAAGTTCACCATCTTACATGGGCAGAGTTCACAATAGTAATATCAAAGATCATTGATCGCAGGTCATCGTAACATAGAATAATAATGAAAAAGTTTGGAATATTATAAGAATTACCAAAAAGTGACACAGAGACACAATATAAGCATGTATTGTTGGAAAAAAATGGTATTGATAGACTTGCTCGAAGCAGGGTTGTCATAAACTTTCAATTTTTAAAAAATGCAGTATCTGTGAAGTGCAATAAAAAGTTATGCCTGTATCTGGAAGCAGAAGGAGGGACAAAGTAGCAAAGCAAGTGAACAAGAATAAACAGTGCTTTCCCTTCTCTGGTACACAAGAAGGGGATGGAAAAATAGAGACTATTCTTGGCGCTAATGAACTTGCCCATTATGGCTTCTGATCATAATGGAATATTTCTTTGAATGAATTGAACTGTCCCTCTCTGAGAAGGCAACCACTTATCTCTTCCCCGCTATCCCAGCTCTAACCTTTCAGATGAAGATTTAAATTTAAGTTTCAGGATTTCCTTTTAAGCCCTTCTCTACTGTTTTAATGGTGTTATTAAATCTATCTTCTTTAGGTAAAAGATGAGATAAATTCCAGTTGTTTTCTCCATGTTTGTACTTATTCATTGGCAACTATGTGGGTGGTGCAAGCTCTGGGAGTTCAGCTCTCAGAGTATAAATAGCTGAAACTACCTTTCTGACTGTGGTTTAATTGTCACCTGAGGGTGAAATGAGCTGATAGTGATGTTTCATTTCTCTTAATAACTTCATAACTCTCCTAAAAGGTAGATTTTTTGGAAGCTGGGGCTTGTATTTCTTTTCCCTTTTAACTAAGCAAATCAATCCTCAATGGTCACTGTGATCTCAGGACCTCTCTCCCTCTCTTGAGAAGTCCAGCAGCACTTACTGGTTACACATTCACCATGTCCAAGCCCTCAGCTTACTTCCCAACTTCTTTCAAGCTAGTAACTACTTCCACATTTAGTTAAAAATACTCTCTCTGACCAATGATCCTTTACTTACCAAACAGGATGTGCTTTTTTCCGACATCATCTTTTTTGACCTCTTTAAAACATTTTACACTGTTAACTATCCCCTTGTTCTCATAATCCCTTCTTCCTGTGTTATTTGTGACCCTACTGATTCTCCTTTCTGTCTTACTGTTCCTTCTCAGTTTGTATCATCACCACTTCCTCTGTCCCCTATTTTCTATCATAGTTTCTGGTCTGCTGTCTCTCCACCCTTCTTTTAGTGATCTCTGCTCCCATGTATTCAACTATCAAAGCTATATACATTACTTCCATTTCTTGATGTAGAATAGTGATACTCTCTGAGCTTCAAATCTCTTATCACTAGCTATCGCATGAACATTTTCAACCTAACTCAACATTTCCAAAGCAGGACTTTCTCTGTAAAGCCTCTCCTCCCAATAACTCCCCTGTTTCTGACCATCATCCTTCCAGTCACCCAGAGCTGCAAACTTTCATCCTCAATTCTTCTCTCACACACTCTGAATATCTAATGATTGTATTTTCAAGATTTCACCTTTTTAACATCTCTCAAATACACCCTTTTCTCTCCTCAGACACTGCCACTGTCCTAGTATAGGCCCTCCTCTCCTCTACCTTGAACTATTGCAGGTGGGTCTGTTGAAGTTTAGAGGTTTAGGGGTTCTGGGACCCCAAAATCACATCATGCAGATCCTGCCTGAAAGAATTTGACCGAAGCCTTCTTTCAGTCAAAGACAAGGTCTGTCATATTGGGCAGACTCTTAAGGAATCTGAACATTAGTAAGCTATTGGCTAGACTTTAAGAATCTGAGCAGTGGCTAGATTTTAAGAATCCAAGCACCTTAATGGAGACAAGATAGACCTTATATACAGAAAGACTGTGGGAGGGATCTAGGAGTGGCCAAGTAGTCTATTAGGTAATAGAACTCCAGGGACCTGGACCATGTGGCCAAGGGAGAGGCCTGGGGCCATAGGGAGGTAAGGGAGATTAAAATACCAGTTGATGGTATTATAGCCTCAGGAGAACTCCAGAGATTTGGCTCTGTGAGAAAGTCCAGGGTTTTTCATCATTCCCCCCTCAAACAAATGGGACCCAAATTCTTTTGGGGTAAGGGGCAAAGGCCTCAGCTTCTGAAACTCCTTCCTGCTGGCAAGGGTATAGAGCTATCCCTGCCTTGGGGATCCCAAAGAGGAGGTTGATTAGAACAGAGCACAGGCTGCATCCAGGGAATGATGGGGGGGGGTCATTGGCTGGTACCCACTGTTTGCTACCAACTGTAGGTGAATTTGTGTCAAGACACAAATCTGACAGAAAAGACTGCAGTACCCAGCTATAAAGCAGGGACTAGATTTAGGGCCCAAATATGAGAGGATAAAACATTCTTAGCTCTGTTTGGATTCAGAAAATTCAATTTTCCAACCGTGCAGTCTCAAATTCACCTCATAGCCAGACTCAGGAATAGCCAGGTGGGTAACATTCCTTTTCAAAGGAACACAAGGGGGAAACTGAGCCAAGAGGATCCCATCTTAGACTGAGGCTAAAATTGTCCTCTCAGCTTTTCCCGATGCTGACTTCCTACCAGTATCACATTCTCTCTGAGTAGCTTGTGGCATGTCTCAGATGGTGGATTATTGATTTATTGATGGATTATTATGACCCAGTAGACAACTCAAAATAAAATCCTATGAGCTTTTACCTCACACAGCAAGTTTCACTAATCACAGTTTAGTAAAAACTTTTCCAGGCTTTACATCTCAAATTTAAATTTGTCCTGGTATAAAAAGCCAATTATTAGAAATTATTTCTATATAATTGTAAATTCTTAGCAAGACAAAACCCAAACAAGCTTTTTTTCAAGTTTACACATTAAAACAATAACCAACAATAGTCAAATTATTTTAGTGGTAACCAAATTATGAAAAATTGCTTGACATAACTGTTGGAAAAAGTTCACCAATTTGAAACTTGAAACAAACCCATTACCAATCAGGTGATTTCAATTTTGTTAAATGCATTTCCAGATTACTTTACACAAAGAATCAACATCTCATTAACAGTTAAAACTACAAATTTAAAAGAGCATGCTTACCCAAGTTTGGAGGCTAGCTTCTTTACCTTGAGCAGGATGTGCTGAACATGAGTGATGCTTCCAGGCAAAGGTTGCCCTAGGACCCAAGGCCATTGCCAGAGGGGCCCATGCTGTAACTGCTGCCCCCCTCCCTCCTTCCTTTCCCAGGTGGGGGGGGGAATAAAATCAAAGGTGAGGGGTAAAGGGTGAAACTCTCTTCTCTTATGAGAGGGGTTAACAGATACCCTCTTTACTCAAGGGAAGGGAGAGGGAGAAAGGAGTGACCAGGGTTGTAAGGAAGAGTTTCAAAACACCTTAACAATCAATCACAAAACCTCCAGAATCTGCCAAGATATTTTTAGCTGTTCTAACTTTTCCTGTAACCTCCATGAAGGAAGATTCAGGGGTGTAGAGGGAAGGGAGTAAGTAAGCCTCAGGGAGCCAAAAGGCAACTGCAGTTTTCCCCAATTCCCTACCGCCAAGAGAATTGACAGAATTGGACATACACTTCCAGATAGGGTGTCTGGATAGGACGTCCATCCTTGTCCTCTGTGCTGCGGAAGGTGTACCCAGGTCCATGGGCCGAACCAACCCAGTGGACTGAGAGCCTGAGAATGTCAGGCTGAGTGCAAAACAGCCTCGTAACTGTCTACCCAAAAAGCACCTCCAAGCTTTGTTACTTGAAGAGTGACCCCAACTGCAGAGCAAGAAAGGAGGGGGTGGGGGCTTACATACCTTCCACTCTTGGCTGGAGAAGCACTTGGGTTTAGGCAGTTTCCCCATATAGGCCACCAAAATGTTGAGGTTTAGGGGTGGTAGGGTGCTGGGACCTCAAAATCACAACACGTGGGTCCTGCCTGAAAGAATTCGACCCAAGCCTTTCACCCAAAGACAAGGTTTATTAGAACATCCGTCATCTTGGGCAGACTCTTAAAGGGTCTGAATGTTAGTCAGCTATTGCCTAGATTATAAGAATCTGAGCCCATGGCTAGATTATAAGAATCTGAGCAGTGGCTAGATATTAAGAATCCAAGTCTAAAAAAAAAAAAGCTGTCTTCTAATCAAATTAAAGTAGTTCACATTAAAAAAAAAAACAATGCAACCATGCTTAAAATAAACGAGTTCTCTTTTTTTTTTTTTAAATACAGTCACTGAAGGGATCCTAATTGTAAGCATTTTCTGTGTAATTAGCATGGTGAATAAAGACCTGACCTCAAAGCCAAAAAGATTTAGTTTCAAGTCTCATCTCTGACACATACTGGTTAGGTGACCTTGGGTAAGTCATTTAACTTCTAAGTGCCCTAGGCAATTCTCTAAGACTGCAGAGAGGGTACCAGTGTACGTTATTAGAGGTAGTTTCCTCACCTGAGAGTTCTCTATAAATAAATCACAGGTTAAAAATCACAGTTTCAGACTCCATTTCCTAATCCTAAATAATTTGAAAAGTCAAATGTGAATGTTATTTTTAAAAGGTTATTACCAAAGAAAATCCTTTTCCCAAGGATCTTACTAATAAGTTCTTTGGGAATACACACTGAAATGGATTTTCGTGAGGTAATAAGAGCTGGTAATCCTAGAAAAAGAGGATAGACTGAATAAAAGAAAGAAAACAGTTTTGTTTTTTTTTCTCATGTTACCTAAGAGATAAAATACAGGATGCATTAATAAACAAAATAAAGTCATAAAGTTAGGTGGTAATTTGAGTGACATCCTGTGAAAAAATTAAATAATGTGTCAGGTGGATAGAATTGATGTACGATTTAACTCCAGTATTTCCTTTTCAGATGCTTCTGATTGGGATTCTCCCAGTACTTCTCAGAAAAGTAAGAGTTACAGAAGTTACAAGGATTTGAATTTTAATGGGAATTATCCTCGCCCATCACTGCCACTGACCAAAAATCAGTCAGGATCCACAGAATTTGGAAAGATTCCTTTAAAAGAAGATGAAGCAGCTAGAGCTGGAAGTGGCCCTGAGACTGAGTTTAGGGATGTGATTCTAGAAGAAAAACCAGTCCCTCAGAAGGAGTGTGAACCACAGCTCCCTCTAAAAGAAGAGGAAAGTAAAAAAGGTAATGAAGGAGCATGTGGAGCTAACATTGTGAAATTTCAATGGGTAGCTTATTTGCTCAATTTGTTACATTCCAATCTTTATTAGTATGGGTAAGCAAAATAAATGATAAAGTCATGTGATGACAGAATTTACTGCTTGTCTTTACTCCTCTCATGCAGCCTAGAATTTAGCAGGTATCTTTTTAACAGATATTTTGATTTTCTCCTCTAATCAGTGTAACATATTCCACAAACACGGAAAAGGGATAGTTTAGGCCTGTGTGCTAAATTAGTCTCCTCCTGTCTAATTGACTGTGGTTTCCTACTTAATTTTTTTAAGTGTTTCCAATCCTAAAACCATTAGGCTTATATAAGTTTATTTTCACATATGAAGTCCATATATAAATGATTTTTCTTTTTTCTGTCATTTTGAATTAACTTTCCCCAAGTATTAAATTACCTTGTTAGTTGATGCTTCCTGGTAATTGTTTCCATGACATTGTTTTGAATGGAATGTGATTACCATGCCGAGGAATGTCTTTTTAATATTATTTTTGAAGTTCCATAAATTAAGATAATTTTGTCATATTCAGGTTTAACGGTTTATGTTGGTTTTGTTTCAGTAGATTTGTTTGACCTGTGACATACAGTTATATCTTCCTGATCTTTAGAAGTTATGTTAATCTCTGTGAATTTCTCTCCGTGTTATCATACTCTGTGTAGCTCTAAGGTAACTAAAAGTTTTACAGTGAACTTCAAATTACCTGCTGGAGTATTATCAGCATATCTTATTTGCATGTTTTCTTGGCTTAATCAGAGTAGCTTATAATTACTTAATGATACAGATCTCATTTACTTTTATTTCCCTATGCAACATGACGTCAAGGTTTTGTTCTCTCTATGTTTTGAAATAATCAGATTGATTCTGCCTTTTGTAAATTGATTTTGTCCTCTCACTGCCTAAGTCATGATTCTTTGTCTCTGAACTTAGTTCAGAAATTCATCGGTCCTATGTAATAAGTTAAATTTAGAAATCCAGTTCTGTTATTAATCATTTTACTATTCTTGTGTGAAGGAAATGTGTTACCCTTGAAGGACTCTAGTCTAGTATCTTTATACACTCCAGCTCTCCTTCGAGGATGTCTGGCTTGTTATCCAAAGAAGTCTGGTCCACTCTCCATAACCTTGCAGGTGGACTCAAGCAATGAAGATTTCTTAGTCAGAAGAGAGAAGGAAGGGATTGTTGCTAATCACTCATTCCCAATTTTCTGTCAGTCACGTTGTCCTCATCCGCATGATGCTGTCTCCTCTATAATCTATCTCATTGTTTTCCCTACCTACCCAACTCTGGTCTTTGTTCTCTTGTACTTCCCCAAACCCTATAAAGGCTAGTAATCCTTACCGCATGGTCTTTGGTCATTGAGAAATCCCATTAACCAAATTTATTGGTTACTGCTAGCCTAACTAATAATTTGATCATGCACAGACCATTTTCTCTCTGTTTACCCTTAATTTTCAAATGTAACAGTCTCATCTTGATTAAATATATAAATCATTCTTCACAGCTTTCTCTGATTTGGTATGTAGTGAGCATCTCACAAGAAACTTAAAATGTAGCAGTAGATTGAAATTACAAAATAATCAGCTAAATGCATAATTAGTAAAACTGACATTTATGACCTTTTATACCTTATTTTAAAATAGATAAATTATAGCTGTGATAACTGCCATTACTGTTAATGGGGGGATTTCAATCATATAAAAAGTAATTCTAAATAATATAAATTTTTACTTAAATATCAATATTGAATTAACACAAGAATTGGAATTTAAAGGATCATCAGAGGAAGGCCAAGAAAGTTTTGATAAAAGTGACCAGGAACAGGTATGTAAAAATAACATTCAAATTTCTGATATTTTATTTGAATAAAAGTGCCTTTCATGATAGTTTTATTGGAAGTTTTTCAGAACTTGGTTCACTTTTAAATACATTTTAAACTGATTTAGAAAATAATGCATGTTTCAGTGAACAGATAGGACCCCTTTTTTGCATTATAAAGTATGATTCTTTAATCTGAAAATGGATACTTTTAGAAATAATCTCCTAGTGAAATGTGCCCATTGTGAATGCTAGAAAACTAATTATATTGCTGGATATTCCCTCATTTCTCCCCATAAATTAAATAAAGACTATTATCTGTAAAAGATATAACTATTTATGATAATTTTCATAAGATTCCTAAATAATTCAGCTTCTACATAGTTAGGTGACAAAGTGGATAGAGTAAAGAAGACCTGAGTTTAATCCATTCTTGGGCTCCTAGCTAGCTGTATTATCCTGGAGAAGTCACCAAACCTCTCTTAGCCTGTTTCTTCATTGGTAAAATAATTATAAGTAAAGTTTATCGCACAAAATGGTTGTGAGGATGTTATGAGATAATGTATATAAAGTGTTGTGAAAACCTTAAAGTACTACATAATTGTTAGTCATTGTTATTATTTGTAAATTTTTATTATTTTACAGTGCTATTATCTATTTTATAGGACCAAGTACAGATGGATGCAGGTGATCTTGATGACCTCACTCAGTCATCTGACATAGCTACAGAGGATTATGATTTACCTCCCTTAAACAATAAGAATGTTTTGTTATTGATCGAACAACTTAGTGTTGATTGTAAAGGTAAGAATATTCTTAAATTACCTAACAAAATACCAGTGTTAAACAGAAACCAAAGATGTGGGTATATACAAGAAGATAACCCTGAAGTCCTATTTCATTGACTCATAGTAAAATAGATTTGACTTTGGATTCTTGGAGGCTCTGACATTGGAGCCTAATCTCTGGCAGGCCTTGCCAAGGTGAAAGGGATTTTGGAGGCTTCAGGGTGATGAATTTTTCAGCCACAGAAGATGACCTTCTATTTGTTTCAATTCAAAAAAGAATTATTAAGTACCTACTGTGTGCCACATACAAGAAGTTTAGATAAGACACAGTCATTGTCCTCGTTGAGTGTGCAATCTGGAAGGGGGATATAGCCTACCTAGATAACTCTAATATTAAAAAAATGCATAAATACTTGAGGAGTACTGTCATACTGCTATGTGAGGTTCAAAGTGGGAAAGAACGTTAACTATCAAGAAGCAATAATTTCTTTGTAAAGCTACCATTTGAGTTGAGTTTTAAAGGATGGGTATGAATTCAGTAGGCGTAGATCATGCGAGTGAGTATAGGAGAATGAAGTGAGAATTTCAAGAATGAGAACTGTGAGCAAAAAGGCAGGAAAGTGACAGTGAAAATGGAGTTTTACTGGACAGGATATAGCAGTAAGAAGTAAATATGGAAAGGTAGGGTGTTACAAACTTGTAGAGGGCCTAGCTTTGTGTCTATACACAAATCCCTTAAACTTGGAGCTTTGGTTTCTTAATCTATAAAATACCTTACTTCACAGGATTGTTGAGAGCCTATATGTGCTATGTTACTTGATGTGAGTTACTAATATTGAATGCTAGGACAAGGTGTATGAATTTTATTTGCTGGGTTAACAATAGAGAACCATTGAAGAGACTGACATGACCAGATGCATAAAGATATCAGGAGTGATCTCATTCTTGGAAAGAATGGTCAAAAATGTCAACAATCTCACATATGTTCTGTCTAGTTTTTATAATTCTTCTGTCAGCATGACATATAGGATAGTATACTGGAGACAATGCCATGAATACCTAGGTTCATATTCTGCCTTATACACGGGCTACCTGTGTCAATCCAAGTTCTTTAACTTCCCTGTGCCTCAGTTTCTTCTTTTGCTTTGAATCTTTGAGCTTATGATTTCCCTTAATGCCAGCTTCACCGCCCTCTACAATCAGTGTGTCTACCTCTAGCAGCTCTGTTCTCTCCTTGCTGCTTCAATTCTGCTAAACACTGAATCGTATGAAGAATTGAAAGTTGCCAAGGGAAACTTGACAACCAAGCCTCTTGAATCTGTAACTTGATATAACACACATTTCTAACTGTGGATTAGGTCTAAATTTGGCTATGTATCTCTCTTCAGAACAAAGTGCCTGGGTTTTGTGGCAGTTTTTTTTTCCTTAATGCTCAGATGATTTTTTCACTTTCTTCTGGTATCTCAGCTATATTTTGGTTAATGTTACCAGAAGTCTGGCCAATGAATAAATGAGGATGGATGTTATTGTATGAATGTTACATACAGACTTATATTATAAGTCTCTAAAGAAGAAGCAGTGTTTACATATAACTATTTAGGGTAAAATATATTTATGATGCATATAAAATGAGTCAGTATAGTTGTAATATTAATATTTGTAATATTATATATTTAATTATGTTTATATATTTAATATTATATATTAAATATATAATCCATTTTACTAATCTTATTTATTAATATTATTTGTCCCACCCAGAGTACACATCAGAATGTTTACTTTTCACATTTATTTTTCTAATATTGTAAAAAATTCTGAGGTTTCTAATGGTTTTTTATAAAGTTATGTGTAACTTAGAGATTCTTTTTAATTGTCCACAATGCCCACAGGAAAATAGGTGATTTTCAAATTCAATGTAAATCTTTTGACAAAATAAATAAAATGCATTTATGATACTTATAAAATAATTCAGCATACTTTTAATATATAAATATTAAATATATAATCCATTTTATTTATCTCATTTGTCCCCCCCAGAGTACACATCAGAAATTTTACATTTCACGTTATGTTTTTCTCATATTGTGAAGAATTCTGAGGTTTCAAAAGGCTTTTTTATAAAGTAATGAGTAACTTAGAGATTCTTTTTAATTGTCCATATTACTCAAAGGGAAATAGGTTATTTTCAAAATCAATGTAAATTGACAAAATAGTATTTCAGTTTCTCCTTAGGATTTATATTTGGATACTATGTTGTCATTGCCAGAGTATTAGAATTCTAAGTATACTGCTTCTGTCCTGAAGATTTTAAAATACTCATATTTTTATTTACTTGTGTTTTTCTCTGTACAGATCCTATTAGCCTTTTGAAAATTCAGGATGCAGTTCTTAGATATGAACGATCGGTAGAACTTAAAAAAGGACATTGTTCACTACTCGCCGGAAAAGTTAAGAGTTTAGAAAACAAGATTACTGGACTACAAGAAGAATTATCAGAATCAAGAGAAATGAAATCCCAGTTAGAGCATCAAAAAGCAGAATGGGACAGAGAACTCTCTAGCCTCAGGTATCTAACTCATGAGTTTCAATGAAGACTTGAAAGCATTTCTTTTATGTTCAAGCATTCTGAGAGAGGATTTGAGGTTAGGAAAGCAAAAATGACACATCTTTAAAATAATAATATAATGAGCCCTACTTAATCCTTTTTATTATGTGAACATCCATTAGAGATGCATTTTTAGTGAATTTTCAAAACTATACCACAATTTCTTACATTTTTTTTCAAAATGAAGTAAAAGTCAACTCTGAATAATCAATAGTAATGGGAAAATGGATGAGGGAAATGTAGAAATCATTCCCACATCTAATTTTAGTCAAGAATTTTATCTGTATCCCCCTCTAGATTTTTCACCAGTCATTCAGATGTATCAAAACTCAGGAATTTTGAAAAAGTCATTTCCCCTAGCTCCTCTGTAGTGCAGGTCAATAAAAGTTTAAAGTGAAGAAGGCAGGCAGGGAAGGAGGGAAGTAGGTGGACATATATATCCAATTTATGGCATTTCTGTCTGTTGAATACAAAGAGCCAAAGCATCCAAAGAACTATATGATACATTTTTGATAGAAGTTTAATGCCCTGGATAGAGAAATGGCTTCATGTGTCATTTGTGACACATCCTGACTGTGTGAGCCTGAGCAAGTTACATAATCCTCAGTGCCCCAGGCAACAGTCTAAGGCTTGAAATTGTAGAGCAGGGACCTATCTACATTAGTATTGGGAGTTTCCTGATGGTGGATCCAGTTCCCCCCCAAATTAATGTTGTTTTCTTTTAGAGGTCCAGATGAACATACTCAAAGGGCATTCCTTATTTTTACTGAACTGTGATGTTAAAAAAGAGCAATTTTAATCTAGGTTTACACTGAAGCAAGAGGAAGTAAAGCGAGTGACTGCCGAAATGCTATTTGAAAAAATTAGAGAACAGTTAAGAAGAAAAGAAGAACAACATAGTAAAGAAGTGGAGCTAAAACAGCAACTTGAATTCACTCTTAGAACTCTGGAGCTTGAACTGAGAACAGTAAGAAATACTTTGAAACAGGTAAATTGGAATTTAAAAGTCAGTATTTCCGCCTTTTCTTTGTTAAGAATATTTATGGGTTCCCTGGGGATGGACAGGTGAATACTGTGAAGTCTTTTTAATCTTAAAAAAGGATTATAATATTTATGTCTAGTATAACTAAGTTGGGTTCAGTCATTCATAAATATGTATTCATAAGTACATAAAGAAAAATAAAGAAAAAATTCTCCTATTTTAGCATTTGAATGTAAAATTACAGCCATGGAAAAGGTAAGATGGAGCTAATACTTTGTGAAGTATGTCTCATGGCGGAGAATCAGTATGATGTAGTGGATAGAACTGGCCTCAAATTCAGGAAGACCTGGTTTCAGGTGTTGCCACTAACACATCCTGACTATGTGACCCTGGGCAATTTCATTTCATCTGAGCCCAAGCCAGAGGTTTGAAACTCCCCAAAAGCTACTCACAAAACACAGAACTGGGGGTATCTATTTGACACCACTGCTCTATCCTCAGCCTCTCTAAGACTGTAAGTGTCAGATAACTCCTCTATGTTGGTAGAGAGATATTCCTTACATGAAAATTCTCTAGGATAATGAAATTGCAGGTTCAGTCCCTTTCACTGTTCCTTATATTCCACTTTACCATACATCCTTCAGTCTTTCAGAAAAGTTTATTCTTCTCTACCATCTTTAGCTTTTACTTATGCAATTAAAATTATCCAAGCCTTTCTAAATGGAAGAAAGGCAAAGTCTTAATAGGTCAGAGCATTGGACTGAACCTACTAATAAGATGAAATTCAATAAGAATGAATGTAGTTTTATAATTAGGTTAAAAAAATAGTTTCACAAATATAAGTTGAGGAAATATGATTAGATAGCATTTTGTCTGAAAAAAATGTAGGAATTGTAGTGAGCTCTAAGTATAATTTGAATCAGTGCTGTAAAACAAAAAACAAAAAAAAAAAGATAATGTAATTTTGAATCCCATTAAGAGAAGTATAGTTTCCAAAACCAAGGAGGTAAAAATACTTCTGTACTCTGACCTTGTCAGACCTCACCTGTAGTATTTTGTTCATTTGTGGCTACCACAAAATTCTGGTAGCTAGGAAGCAGGACAGCAAACAGGATGAGGAAGGGCTTTGAGTCCATGGCATGTGAGGATCAGTTAAAGGAAATGGAGATGTTCCTTGAGAAAAGAAAACTCCAACTGTCTTCAAGTTTGTTTGTTTTTTTCTTTTCAATTTAACAAACATTTATTAGGCATGTGCAATGCCCTGTGAAAGACACTGGAAGAAATATTAAATTAACCACTCATCTTCCTCGCATAGAGCAAGTACACAATTTGGCATAATGGTAGAAAGGCATTTTTTTTTAGTGTAATCCAATGTTCATTTTGAAAGGTATAATTCATTTTTTTGCATCTGAGTCTTTAAAATTTTTTTTAAATTAATTTATTTTAGTTTTCAACATTCACTTCCACAAGATCTTGAGTTCTGAATTTTCTCCCCATCTCTCCCCTCCCCCACCCCAAATCTTCATTCCCCTTCCCCTAACCCCTTCCTTCTATCTTCCCCCTCCTTCTCTTATCTCCTTCTCCTTCTGTTTTCCCATAGGGCAGGATAGATTTTTATACCCCATTGACTGTATATCTTATTTCCCAACTGCATGCAAAAACAGTTTTTAAAATCTGTTTTAAAAATTTGGGTATCAAATTCTTTCCCTTCCTCCCTGCCTACTCACCCTCATTAAGGAGGCAAGCAACTCAATAAAGGTTATACATGTGTAGTCATGTAAAATACTATAATATTAGCCATAATAATATAATTATTATATAATAATAGCCATGTTGTGAAAAACTAACTATATTTCCCTTTATCCTATCCCAACCCCCCATTTATTCTATTCTCTCCTTTGACCTTGTCCCTCCTCAAAACTGTTTGCTTCTGATTGCCCCCTCCCACAATCTGCCCTCCCTTCTATCATCCCTCTTTATCCCTTTCCCCCTATTTTTCCTGTAGGATAAGGTAGACTTCCATACCAAATTGAGTGTGTATGTTATTCCCTCCTTAAGCCAAATCCAATGAGAGTAAGATTCATTCATTCCCTCTCACCTCCCTCCTCTTCCCCTCTATGGTAAAAGCTTTTTCTTCCCTCTTTTATGTGAGATAATTTACCCCATTTTGCCTCTCCCTTTCTGCTTCTCCCTGTACATTCCTCTCTCATCCCTTACTTTATTTTTTAGATATCATCCCTTCATTTCAACCCACCCCATGCCCTCTGTCTATATATGTATTCATTCCTACTACCTGAATACTGAGAAAGGTCTCATGAGTTACAAATATCATCTTTTCATGTAGGAATGTAATAAGTCCCTTATGATTTCTTTTTCCTTCTCTTGAGTCTTGTATTTGAAAGTCAGATTTCCTATTCAACTCTGGTCTTTTCATCAAGAATGCTTGAAAATCCTCTTATTTCCCTGAATGTCCATTTTTCCCACTGAAGGATTATACTCAGTTTTGCTGGGTAGGTGATTCTTGATTGTAATCCTGGTTCCTTTGACCTTCATGAGTATCATATTCCAAGCCCTCTGATCCCTTAATGTAGAAGCTGCTAAATCGTATCTTATCCTGATTGTGTTTTCACAATACTTGAATTGTTGCTTTCTGGCTGCTGTGTTCAAGTTTTTGAAGGACAGACATGTGGAGGAAGGATTAAGCTTGCTCTGCTTCACCCTAAGGGACAGGACTAAGAGCAGTGGATAGAAGTTGCAAAAATGTACATTTTTAGGGTTAATGTTAGGAAAAAATTGGTAACAAATAGAACCATCCATAAGGAGAATGAGTTGCCTTGAGAGATGGTGGCTTTCCCGCCCAGACGCCCCATGAAGACTTCAAGCTGAGACTGAGTAAAGTGTAGTAAGAGTCGGGTACTTAGTAATGGGTATGGATTCACCTGAATAGTTGTTGAGGTTCCTTTTCAACTCTGAAATGCTAGCCTTCCTGTTGCTTTTCATTTTCAGTAGTCTACTTTTCTTAGATTTTTCAGCTATTTTCCATTCTTTTTCAGATTCTATATTCCGGTTAAAGGTAAAATGCTTTTGCTGACTTTTGAAGGAAAAATATGATTAAAAATTTAATGAATTGTTGTCCCCAGGTTGAAGAAGAGCGAAATGACGCTCAAAGACAACTTTCTCAGGAGCAGAGTGCCAGAGCTTTGCAAGACAGAATTCTGAATAATCCTGTTTGGAAGCAAAAGGAAATAGAAGCAGCTGCTTCCAAAAGGATTCAGAGTTCTGAGGTATTCCCTTTGGTCATTTTCAAGTCTAATTGCATATTTAAAAAGTCAGGATTTTTGTTCTTCATTTTTGGACACATTTGTCATCCTCAGTCATGTCCATCTGTCTTCAGGAGACAAGCAGTGATACACATAGTGACCAAAATCAGTGCAGGTTGTTTGTTTTACTTTGTTGCTTCTTTTCTTTGAATTGAATGATCCCTCCAGAGGCCCCAATGTACTTCCACTGAAGCAATCCCTGGTTCTCGGTAGTATCTCTGCTCTTTCTGGACATAAGAAGGGGGCAGCTCATCAGTTTCACTAACCCCCTAAAGGGAGAAAGGAATGCAACCAGGTAGAAGGTGACACCTCAAACACAAACCACTTTTCTTCCTTGATTAAGTGATTTCATCTGTTGGCCTTTTCCAGGGAAGAGACCTGGTTATAAAACATATGAGAATAGTTTGGTCTGTTTCACATTGTTGTCTCACTCATGTTTCATGAAAGAGAAGGAAAAAAGTATTGCAACAAGAATAAATTTTACTGAGATTTTTAAAATCAGGGTCTTTACTTTACAAGGTTTCATTCATTCACATTGATCATTGCTCAGCATGATAGAAACTCAAGTTCATCAAATGCCAAGTTTATGATTATTAATTTTCTTTCTTTTTTTTCAACAGTGGTTTGAAGTAAATCATTCAAGTTGTTAGCCCTTAGTAATCCTTTGGTGCCTGGGCACTGGAATGCTTCATTTAACTCAGTTGCTGCCTATTCATACCTTTCTCCTGACTTTATAGAAGGGATCTCTTAGAGTCTCCTAAGCTTTTTGATATGGCCGTTTCCACCAGTCTTGAGTTGGGGCCAAATGTTCCTGGACCAGTTTTACTATGATAGGGGTGCAAAAATCAACTTTTTATGTTTTGGCCTCAATGATGTTTTCATTATTCCTTTAAACTTTGATGGTTAGGGTTAGGTTACCATCTACTGACACCTCTCTGGGCCTCACTTTTCCCATCCCTAAAATAAGAGGTTTAGACTAGATAACCTCTAAAAGTTCTAAATCAGTGATGCTCTGAAAATGCTACAGATCTATCAGAGAACAGATTGTTCTCAAGATGTATACTAAGAAATTCTAAGACTGTTATCACTTCATTGGTCTACAGCTAAGATAGTTGTACCAAGACAATGACTCTAACTGTAGGACAACTGCTTATCTTCAGCCCAAGAGGAAATTAGCTATTGAAAAAGAGTGCTAGATTTGAAGTCTGAAGAGACCTGGATTCAGATACTGCTTCTAACACTTACTAGGTGTGACAGTGAGCAGGTTATTTAATAACTTCTCCTAACCTAAGTCCTAATCTGTAAAATGGCGAAAATAATATGAATATTTTCCTCAAAAGTATGTTGCAAGGCTTATGAGAGATAATGTCTCCAAAGTACTTTGGAAACTTTAAAAGGCCTTTGTAAATATCAGGTATTGTTATTTTTGTCATAACACCATGCATAGCCAGTGTGGGATCGAATGGATATAGCAAAGGAAATAAAGTATTCTGAAAGGCAGACAGATTTGGGGGCCTAAAAATACAGGGTTTATAAAATGTACTCTATTTATCATATATTGAAATGCCTATCTATTTTGAGGACTGAATATCCAAAATACATATCTTTTGATTGATATAGCACTTTTAAGATCTGTTCTTTGGGAAAATTGAGTCTAACAAAAATGTGAAATAGGTGAAACTCAATTTACTTTGAATACACTGTGCTTCTTGGAGTTTAAGTTTTAATCACTAAGGAAAAATCAGAATGCATAATTTTATTTTGAGTAGCAATTTTTTTCTGTTTATTGTGTTTAGGTTCCTGAGAGTCATGAAAAAGAAAAATATCTCCTGCATAAAAATCAAAACCTACAGGATGAAGTTGCCATGCTCAAGCTGGAACTAGACACAGTAAAAATTAAGGATCAAGAAAAGGAAAATCAGTATACAGAAGAAAATGAAGTTTTAAAAGAAAAGAATGATGAGCTTCAAAAGGAATTGAAACTGAATGAAGAAGCATTAACAAAAACAATATCTCAGTACAGTGGACAAGTAAATGTTCTGACAACTGAGAATGCAATCCTGAACTCTAAATTGGAAAATGAAAAACAGAACAGAGACAGACTAGAGACAGAAATTGAATCATACCGTTCCCGTCTGACTTCGGCTATTCGTGATCATGAACGAAGTCAGACATCAAAATTGGACCTTGAACATAGCTTTCAACGAGAACAAGACGAGTGGCTTCGTTTACAGGACAAACTAAATTATGACTTGTCTAGTCTAAGAGAGAACAATGGTATCCTTTCTCAAGAGCTATCTAAAGCTGAAAGTAAAACCAGTAGTTTAGAAAATGAGCTATACCATGTACATGATTCCCTCAGAGAAAAGACACTCATTTTAGAAAACACACAGAGAGAATTAAACCAGGCCCAATATAAAGCAAAGGAACTTGAACACGCAAATCAAATGGAAAAGGAAAAACTGAACAAATGTATCATGAAATATGAATCTATCCAAGAAAGATTAGGCCAAATCCAGAGTGAAAATATGTTGCTTCGGCAACAGCTTGAAGATGCCCAAAACAAAGGCATCCTTAAAGAAAATGTATTGAGTGATGCCCAGGTACAGTTTATTGATCTTTTCAATAAACTTCGTGCTGATACGGAAAAACAAGTTCATTTGGTAGAAGACAGAAATAAAGAGTTAATCAGTGAATGTAACCACTTAAGAGAGCAAATATATAAATATGAAAATGAGAAAGCAGAAAGAGAGGTAAGTCTTTAAATAATATCATTTGATAAGCATTTAATTTTTTGAAACGAAATTCAAAGTAATTTTGATCAAGGTAAATTAGGAATTTGAATTTTCAGCAGGCAGATGATGTTAATAATTTTCATTGTAAAAATTCTGACAAGCATGGAGAATGAGGAAGAAATAACATGATAATAATCATGATAATAATCAACCTGATATTCATCTTTTAGGTAAGATGACTCACTTTGCTTAAAAATATTTTCTGGTCCATGAAATTTTAAAGGCATAGTGTTGGTTTGATAAATGTAGATAGAGTTAATCACTTGTAAATAAATACTGATGGATTTATAATTCTACTAATAAGCCTAATATTCCATTTTAATACTGCAATGGAATAAATTATTTGAAATGCTAAAACTTAAGATAAATCCTGAAAAATTAAGCTAGTGATAATATAACAATTCAAATTAGACATCTGAATTGAGATACTGTGGATATTATAGTTACCATTTTCACAACCCTTTCTGAACCTGACTAGTTTTAATTCAAATTACTCGGATATAATTTTAGAAATACTAAACACTAGATTATATTTTTAATGAAATTCCAAAGCCTAATAACTACTTTGCTTTAAAATTAAGATAGTAATCAATTCAAAGAGATTATGATTGAGCATTGAGCATTCATTTTGTGTGTGTGTGTGTGTGTGTGTGTGGTAACAGCGACATTTTTTAAAAATGTGTTTTTGCTTCCTCACTAGATATTTATTTTTTATTTATCTCAATATTTTTTTTACTGTTTTACTAACACTTTTTGCTTAAAGTACAAAATTGCAGTTTCTGGGATCACTGCCTTTCATTTGGTAAAGATAGATAGCTTTTTATAGTCCAATAGCAATTCTCATTATCTGTGATTTTTCATATATGCATTGGGTGGCAGGACTACCAAGTACTGTACTGGGTAACAATTTTGTACAATTTCTTTTTCAATTTTATTTTTAGTGTATATGATCATGTGTTTGAATCTAGTCATTCATACCAGAATTTAGTTTATTTGTAAAAGTTCAATTAATTATGCTAATTTCTCCTCACACAATTATACATGGGCTTCTTTTAGCTTATGTTTCCTTTAAAAATTTTACTAGATTTTATTTAAATTTATTTTTACAAGATACTTAATCTTATCTAATAAGATAGAAAAAATTTAATTTCTTTTGCTTTTTAGTTTCATTTGCTATTAGTAATTTGTGCAGTGATTTACTTTGCTGTACCGTGAAAATGAACAGGATTTTTATAGCATATCTGTATATACATATACAAGTATTTGTGTATGTATGTGTACATATACGCATATGTGTGCATGTATGTATATAGGTATTCCTGCTAGACTAGAGAATGAAATGAAATGAATGACTTCCCTTTAGCTGTGACCTTACACCAGACTGTGTATACGTAAGTGGGAGAACTACCATATTTTCTATAGTTTCCCCTTTCTCTCTCCATTGACTGTAACCCGGAGTGTAATTCCTATCCTAACAGAAAAAGGAACTGCTTTGAACACTTGGCAAGGTCAGTTGATGTGTATAGAAGTTAGCAAACCCTCTACTCCACCTTTTTTTTTTCTGTCAGCAAATCAAATCAATCACTTCAAGTGCTTTAACCAAACCTAACAGACATATGAGTATATATGTTCATCTCTGGGGCAACCTATGAGAGGAAGGAAAATATAACTTTTTCTTATAGATGTCCTCATTCTTATAAAGGCCAATGCAAAGAACTAAGGTAGTTACTTTTCTGAAAAAATGGAAGGAAAAAACCCCTAATGTTTGTATCAGGTATAGCAAGCTATATATTCTTCACTCCCCATCTCCCCATCTTCCATGTGAATTACACATAAAACATTTTATCTCCTATATGGCTTTGGAGGTGTTATAATTCTCAAAAAGATGGAATGGGGAAATCAGGCTGAATGCATTGCTTTATGAGGAGAATACTGAGCAAGTAGGAAGATAGCATTTGATCTATGGTGAATGGAGGGTGAGTGGTATAGTCAAAAGAATTTTGTAGTCTCAGGAACTAAGTTCCAATCCTTTTCTGTATTAATTACTACCTTGAGACCTTGAGTAACTCATTTGACCTCTTTGGGGCTTAGTTTCCTTATCTGCAAAATGAGAAATTGATTAAATAGTCGATTAAATAAAATAAGAATTTTCTAGTTCTAAGTCTATGAAAGCTATGAATATGTTAATGAAATTATTTATATGTGTGAAAATATTTACATCAATTAATTTTGAAGGTATTTTTTATATAAGATAATATTGATTTATGAAATCAGTAATAGAAATAGTTTGGGCATATTTCTATCAGGGTACAGTAAGAAGGCTTCAAGAAGAACTTGCTGATTCCCTGAAAAAACAATCTATGACAGAAGCTTCACTGGAGCTTACATCACTTTATCAAAATGATTTTGAAGATAAGAAAAAACAACTGCAGAATGAAATAGATCAAACAAAAAGTAAAGTATGTATGCAAAAAATTGGTAATTTGTCACTGATTAATGGAAAATGTTTTCAGTGTAATGTTTGTTTTTGTTTTTGTTTATGTTTTACCAATATTATATATTTCCTGAACACTGTGCCTGTCATTTAAACTGACTTAGTACAATACCTATAACCTACACCATTTGTTCTCTTAAATTGGGCTCATTATATTCACTCTTTAGATGGTTGACAATTTTGTTTATCTATCCTCATACAAGGAATGAAGTGTTTTCTAAGTAACAATAATAACTAAAGCATTTCTATCATACTTTATAGTTAGAAAGTCCTTTACATACATTATCTCATTTAATCCCCAAAATAGTTCTGTGAAGTAGGAGTTATTTGTTTGCTTCTATTCAAACTACTCTTTAAATGAAAGGAAAATGATATTACTTCACAATTTGAAAGTATATAAATTGTGCATGGAAAGTGACTTTGAGAATTAAAGTAATTAGGTGGATAATCTCATTATTATCTTCTAATTTATTCAAATTGATCTCGCCATGTTGATTTCCATCTCCATATCCTCATTCATGCTCTTCTTCTTGCTTATTTAGTTATACTTCCCCATCTGTGCTACCTATCCAAACCTGTCCATTCTTCAGCACCCTGCTTCTCAAATACCAACTTCACCTCTAAGATCCTTTTCAGTTCCAAAAGTATGATTCTTTTGCCATAAACCTTTGTTTTTTACTTTTCAGCCCTTCTTCTGAAGCCGAATTCTTCTGAATTCCACTTTTCATCTGATACTATAAAATTTAGTATTTAACTATATATTGATTGCCTTATGGTGTTCATATCTGTTATCAAACTATCATTTCCAGTATCTAAGTCTTGTTTCCCCAACTAGATTGTAATTCCTTTAGGACAGGGATTATTTATACTTCTTTATCTTCCATAGAACTTCCTTTTCACAACATGTTGGTAGTAGAAGTAATAGTTACTATTGTAGTAGTAGTAGTAATAGTTGTAGTAGTAGAAGAACATGTTAACTATGTGTTGACTTTGCCAAGTGTTGAAAGTTTAGCTACAATTAAAATTACTACAAGGTAATATTTGGACTAAAAAACTTTGAGTTTTTCTAGTCTGATAGTATAAATTTTCAATTTCCCAGAGTTCCCCAATGGCAAAATAGAAATTCAGTAGAAAATTATTTCATTTTATTTTTTATTATTATTAAAAACTATGATAATGAAGAAGTTAAGCATAGAATACAGTTTCACAGTCAAATTCTTCTAAAGTGTTCCCTTTATTACTATAAAATATATTCTAGGTTGCTTTCACACATTTATGTGTAGTTAAAGGTGTGCTGTTCATCATTATACCAGCCAAAAGGTGTAGAAATGGATATTTCTGGTATCCTTGAAAGCACATTTTCAACCTAATAACCATCATCATGTTGTAAAATAATGGAAATCTATGCCAAAGCAGCCAAACATGGAGTTTTTGATGAAGAGATTTTCTCTGTTTAGAGGCTGCTTGGTGCAGATGGGGATAGAACTTTGGGCTTAGAGTTAGAAAGACCTAACTTTAGATGTAGCCTCAGATCCTATCTTTGTGATCCTAGGCAAGTCACTTAATCTTTCTCACTTTCAACTATAAAATGATGGGAATAATAATAGCACCTACCTCTCAGGGCTGTGGTGAGAATCAAATAGCACTTAATAAGTGCTTGTTTCTCTGCTCCAAAAGCATAAAGGCCAATATTGTATGTTGCACTTAAGTAGTCACTGCTTCCCGCCATTTGATAAGCACCTCCTAACGGTGCAAAAACAGTTCTCGTGCCTGGTTAACTTCAGTATAATTGTTTTAACTAAGAACTTATTGTTAGGTCCAATCTCATTCTTATGAAAGCTTCTTTTCTTCCATATTTGTATGCTTGAGAAATATTTCTAGGTTTCAGAAATCTGAATTGGAACAAAATAACTTTTGTTTCCCAAGTAACTCCCCTATCATTCATTCTCTTTATTTCCCTCCTATTCTTTTTGGCCCACATTGATTAAAATATTAACCTTCAAAAGCTTTTGGCTGCAGGCTTCAGTCTAGAAACTAGGTGTGGATTGAGCCTTAGGAAGTGTAGCAAGGCAGCAAGTATGAATGGCAGTATGAATTAACTCAGTTAATTGGCATTGAAAATAAGGTGGCACCATTTCTTCCCTGTCTTCTTTCCCTGATCGTGCAAGTAACTAAGCTTTTGCTATATAAGAATTAGGTGAAATTGCTGTTTCTTTCTTGTTCACCATTTAATCCATCAACTAGTGAATGTCAATTATGCGTAACGCATGCCCTCTCTCCTTGAAGAATTTTCAGTGTTACTGGGAAGCCAGTGCAAAGTAGAGGAAGTTCATTTATAATACAAGGTAGTATATAAACAAGTACCAAGTGAATGGTATATAAGTAAGTAATTTATAAAGCATTTATAAAAGGGAAAGAACACTATAGTTAGAGATTAGAGAAGGTGGTACTTAATCCAGTCCTTCCAACATGAAAAATTACTCAATACAAATTTTCTGAGTTAGCACCTCTTTTGGAAGAATAATTGCCAACTAGCTAAATTTAATAACATGTGTTTTAGATAATTGCATATTTATAAGTGATTAAAAACCTACATCTGAAGGTGACTTTTCCAAGATTTCGAGTCCTGGCTCAGTCCCTTTCTGTCCATATGACTTTTGACAAATGGCTTTCTTTCTTCAGGCCTGAGTTTCCTCGTATATAAAAGATGTATTAACTCATCACTAGGGTCCCTTTTTACTGTAACAGTCTACAATTCTAAGTGAGTGAACTCCAGTTGCTTATTCTTATTCTCTAATCTAGTCAGCTCTTCCAAATCTACCATTAAATATATTTAAAGAGTTCCTGCTATGTCCCTATACAATATCTCAGCCTTAGATGCTGAAGTAATAAACTAAAGTGAGTAGTGGCACAAAAATTAGAAACTAACTAGAATGGCATGCTTACTGTGTGCCATGGACAAAAATATCAAAGAACGTAGTGAAGGAAGAGATCATTGTTGTAAGATACCAAGAAAACTTTAGAGAAAAGATCAAATTTTGAGTTGCCTTTGAGAATTGGGAAGGGATCAATAGGATAGGAGAACAATACAGTCCAGGAAAAAAGCAAAAGCACGGGAGTGTGAGGAGGGTTGCTGTAAAGAAACTAGAAGTAAAAATTGGAAAAAATAGGATGTGGTTAGATTTTAGAGGAAGAAAGGCAGAGAAGTTTAGCCTTTAATCTGATAGACCATAGCAGTCCCATTGTAGGTTCCTGAGTAAGGCATTAATATGATCTAAACAATGTTTTATGAAAATTAACTTAGCATCTTGTAGTAAGGATTGGTGTGGGGGTAAAACTAAAACACAGAGACCCTGTAGCACCTTTTTTTTTTAATTAAACCATAGGCAAATGACTTAATATCACTGTGCCTGTTTCCTAATCTGTAAAATGAGAAGGTTGGAATAAGGTGTTCACCTCTCAATTTATGATCCTCTGCTTGAGGTAATGAGTCTAGACTAAGGTGGTAACCATGAGATAAAAAAGGAAAGAGAAACACTGTAAAGGGATAATTTACAGGGATAATAAATGACAAATCAGATAAGAGACAGAATCCTATGTTGCAGTGAAGTCAGACACTAAGAAGAAAGGTCTTTGGGTACGGATAGAAGTATTGATGATGCAGTTTCAGTAGACTAGTAGGGAGGTAATCCAGATTTTGTGGAAATAAAGAAAAGAGAGCTGCAGATTCTAAATTGCAGACTGGGCACCAGGCCTGTCTGTTCCTTATACCAATTAAATCACAGATACAGACCAAATAAATAGGTAAAAAATCATAAATAAATAGATGAATGAAATGGGAATAAGAGATGAAGAAATGGCAGCTGTGAGATAGTCATTCATTGGAGAAGTTTGGAAGCAAAGAGGAGAAAGAAGTGTGAATCTAGAAGGGGCAGCAGAATGAGGAGGGTTCTTTCTTCCTTTGTAAGTTAGAGAAGACCCCTGGAGAAGGGAGAGGTTGAAAACCTTAAAAGGAAGTTGTCAAAGGGACAGATCATTTACCTGGCTCATAATCTAGAGCAATAGATAGCACTCAAGGAGAATAACAAAATATGAATTTACACAGGTTGCATCTCACTTAGCCAAATACAAAGAGATTTGGAGAATAGTTTTATAATCTAAGAACACACATGCAGACATTTCAACATAGGAATGCTTAGAACATAGGCCAGGTGTGCTAACAGGGGAATGAGGATGAAGTGACCATTTACATTGGTTATAGAGAAAGGGGGAAAGCCAGCATTCCTCCAAGGTGTATTGGCAAACTTGGCCCACATTCTATGCATTCCTATGTATTTTAACCATTTTAAAATGTATTAACATTATTAGTGTAACTAATACCTATATTGAAATAAAATGAGAACTATCATTAATCTAAATTTCAAAGAAGAAATAGTTTTTAGCGAAATCAGAGGAAGGCTATGTTGTTTTAAGTAAGATCAGTCTTTCCATATTTGTTTTGTTTTTATAAACTACACTTAAATTGATATTTAGAATTGGATCTGGAATTAATGAAAAATATCCTTTTTAAAATGCCAGTTCTGTTCTTGTAACATTTTTCATTGTAAAAAATGTTTTCAAAGCTTAATACTGAAAAGGAAAAATTAAAGAAACTCATTGAGTTAAAGCAATCTCTGGGAAATCGTCTAGAACAAGAAATGAAAAGAAATGATGAATTACAGAAAGAACTCAGTGGGTAAGACTCTTTTCTGCAAATTTTTTCAACCAAATATTAAGTAAGCAAGGACTTAAGCATCTTTTAAATCTTAAGTACAAATTCATTTTATACATTAACACTTGGATAATTACAGTATGTATAATTTTAAATGAATAATAAGTTTTTTCATTTTCATATTATTCACTAAATTATTGCTGAAAATCAAACCTTCTAACCCGCGTCTTTGAAGTTATAGTAAAATGCTGTGTAGCACCTGTATCATAAAGTATGTTTTCCAGAACTTATACTATACAGCATTTGACAGTCTCTTGTTAAGTATCCTATTTCTGAACATAAATTGTTTCTGTAAGATTGGTCTCCATGTTCTTCATGCTAATTTATTTCCTTCATTATTCATTTATTTCTTCCTTTATCATTCATTCAAAAAGTATTATTAAACATCTCTTGTGTACAAAATACTGTGCTAGACCCTGGAGTTACAGAGATGAATAATGAAAAATAGTTGAAAATGATTACATTCTAGTAAAAGAGGTAATGGAGGGACTTAAATAACATGTGCAAATAAAAATGTGGTAAGTGCTTAAGAATGGTCCATAGAAAATGCAAAAAGAGACTGAAGGAGGTAAAGATCTTTTCTGTTTTTGTGGGATCAGTAAGATTCTATTAAGGATATGACTTTTGAGTTAGACTCTACAAAATTACTTGGCCTGAAATTTAAGTCCTTCACAATGTGGCAGCATCCTCCCTTTCCACACTTAAATTATATTATTTTCTCGTGTACAACTTAAGCTCCTGTTGAACTGCAGTATTCTCTGTCCTTCAAAACATGCCTTACGCTTTCCTACCTCTTCCCTGTGCCTGTAATGTTCATTGATGGCCTCTGCACTCATCCTCACACAAATGCAGCTGCTCTGTGGAGCCTACTCTGATCTCTGTTGTTGATAATGAATGACCTTCACCATCAGACTTCACATCACAATTTCCACTACACTCCACTGAAGCTGTTACATTTTGTTGTGTATCATAATTATCTACATGTATATCTTATGTTCCAATTGAATGACAGCGCAGACCATGGTCTATCTACACTTTGTATTGTATCACAACCTTTAGGGCTAAGTACTTGATGCTTTCTAATGGAACTTTAATCGAATTCCAATTGATGAATTTTAATTGAATATAGCAAGAGGCCACCACTGTTAAGGTATCAAATCCTCTGACCACAGGCTAGAGGCTGCCATTTCAGTGGCAGAGGAGAGTCTCCAAATCCTCATGCATTTTCCAGAACTGTAATTCAGCTGTGTTATGGTTTAATTAGTTATTTGTGGGCTTCTATTAGAGCGCTAGCTCTAAGGGGGAAAATGCATTCCCTGTTCCAACCAGTCAATTTACAAAGTAACTTATGAGATGCAATTGACTTTTCAAGTTAGGGACTGCCTATATTTACATCCACTATACAAACATTTTAAATGCAACTTTGTATTCTATTAACATTAAATGATATTATTTGTGTTGTGTGGGCTATGGCATTTAAATACTTGACCAGCTAATTTACATAGATCTACAATTAAAATAATAAAGGCCCAAAACATCACCCTAAACTTTTTTCGAAATAAATTTATTCATCATTTAAATTTCAGTTTGTATTACTGGAAGGTATCACCTTTTCTACAAATATTACAGCATAACCAGATCATTTGGAGACTATTCTACAATAAAATAATATTAATGAAGAACTGATGTTGAATATACATCATTTGATATAGAGATGAAATGATTAGTGAGGCTATCATTCCTTTGGTTTTATTTTAACAAAATGTCAGATTTGAGTTGGCTGACCTCAAGAACTCTTTTTAGATTTATTTTCTTCTCTATGATTGAAAATAATTTAAGGCAATGGGTCAAAAATAATACTTTTTAAATCTATAATATTTAAACTGTAAAGAGTTTGACTTAATTATTCTGTTCACAGATTTAAAAAACTGTTGAAAACAACACAAAAGAAATTAAGAGAATATGAGAAAGGAAATATTGTTTACGAGGGGGGACTGAAGCAAACACATTCTGAAATGGATAGACAAATTAATAGGTTAAAAAATAAGGTAATCCTTAATACTGGAAAATGTAATGTGTCTTCTCTTTATATTGCTTTTGAAATGGTTACACACATATATCTGTATCTACATGTATATGTATATCGATATATATATACACATATATACATATACATACAAATATATGCATGCATACACATACACACACACACACACACACACACACACACACACACACATATATATGTAGCAGGTCATTGGACATTAGTACCCATGAGAAGATTTACATCTTCCCCATGCTTGGAAGGCAACACTTTCTATCTTAGGCCTACTCACACAATTCCTTTTGTTCTCAGGGACTCATTAGACATCCTTGGAGACTTTATATCTCCCTGAAAATTCTGGGCTCCAGTGACTTTCTATGTAGATTTGTATATTAGAATTTTTCCTTTATTCCCATTATAGAATTCATGTCAACTAGAATATATCTAAATATATTGTATTAAAAGAGCTTCTCAAGTATTTAAAAGCATTGTCAGGTGGGGAAAATATTAAACTTGTTTTGCTTATGAATTGAAGTTGCAAAAGACATAAATTTAGGTTTGATCTAAAGAAAAACAACTTTCTAACAGAGCGTTCCCAAAGGGAAGTGGGCTGTTTGAAGAAATCAAATGCTGAAAAGCCTTTTAAGGTCAGTATTTGCAGGGCCTCTAAGAACTTCAGAGCTCCCTCTGACACTCTGCTTCTGTAATCTTAAAGATGAAAAATTATCCCCCTGATAGGATGACTAATAGGCAGAAACAATTTAAAAAATAGTAGTTCTTTCAGAGATTTTAAGATGACAAAGACGAAATTAAGCAACAGTTTGATTGCGAGGTGAGCACTGCTACTATTAAGAGACTTCATAATACAACATAGAGTTATAAAAATTAAGGACTCTCTCTCTAAAAATAGGACTTGAGTTGGTTTAAGAGAGAGAAGGACTCTAGTACTTAGAAGATTTTCACTTCCTTTCACCAGTAAGTGGGTGAAAACCATTTTATCACAGTATGTCCTGTGCATCACTTTTGTATTTTAGGAAAGCAAAGATATTGCCCCTGTTGGAAGAATAATAAATTGATTAATTCATCTGAAGCTACTACTTTTCTTTTTTTTTTTTGTTTTTAAGATTCTAATATTTGATGTTATTGAAACATTTCCCCAACTCTAACACCTTAGGCCAGCACAAGTTGGGGAAAAGTCCTAAAGAGATTTTGAAAAATAGCATAAGTGTTCAAGTGAGATAACATTGGCCAACTTTAAAGTGCTATGTAAATGCTAACTAGTATTATTACCTTTTTTTTTCCTATAATAAGTGACTCTTTGGAAACATCTTATCTTACTATCATTAATTTTCCTCATTAATGTCTGCTATATTGAGTTTTTGCCCTTTGAAACTCGATAGTGTCACACTTTTTTATTTATCACTTATTTCAGTCCATCATCTAACTCCTGGGGCTGAAGGAAAACAGGTAGAAGTCCTGCTAAGCTTGTTGGTTTATATTATGAGGTACTTGGGGAGCAAGAAGAGGGCTATTACACAATAGAATCTCTGGTAAATGTGATATATTCCCTGGGTACTATCACTAGAGTTTTGTAGATGAAAAAGACATGATTTTCCTGGGCTCTGAAACTGAGCATCTCACCATATGACATTCAATTTAGCATAAATTTATTTGCTTTCTCAGTAAAGTCTATCATCATAGAATCAGTGTTCTCATTAGGATGATCAAAAGGAATCTCATTTCTTTCCAAATTCCTTTTAAGATCTATTGTTGCTTTAGGACTAGCATAACTTCAGAAGAATTTGTTGATATCCACTACTATGAATTTTATTGATATCTGCTCACTGTACTAAAAGCTGGGCAGAAAAGACATATGGAATAATTAGAGAACATAGAAGACAATATGGAATCAAGTACTAAATGTGGATTATACAGGCTATAAGAGCTAATAATATAATTTCATGGTTTCTTCTTTCAGTCTTAACTTTGTTTTTGATTTGTCAATTTAACTAAATAACCACTTTAGGAAATACATTTTGTAGCTGTAATATAAGAATATTGATACATTTAATTACATATGAATTAGAAATAATTTAATCTTCAGTTTTAAGTTAGTATTTAAGTTGATAGACCTAAATTTTACTTCTATAATTTGCTAAATTGATATTTTATACAAACAGATTGAAGACCTTACACAACAGTTGGAAGCAGCATCTTCAAAATGTAAACAGTTGGAATCAATTAACCAAAGTCTTCGAGAAGAGTTATTTTCCATGAAAATCTTGCAAAAGAAATATGCCAAGCTGGAAGAGAATAAAAGACAATTGGAAGAAGAAGTAGTTAATCTTAAGCATCATTTGGAAATTACTAAGCTAGAACACAATCAAATAGAACAATATAAACGTGATATTGAAGAACGAGCAAGGCAGGAAATTGTAGAAAAACTAAAAGAAGTCAACATATTCTTACAGGTTACTTTATAATTACTATGCTTTTTATTATTGCTTTATTACTTATTTTATTATATAATATTAATAATATGCTATATTATTAATAATGTATAATTACATATAATATAATATAATAATATAATATTAATTGTATGCTATATTACTATATGATTTATCACTACTATTTATTTGTTTCTGCTTTTTTTTTTTTGGTGAGGCAATTGAGGTTAAGTGACTTACCCAAGGTCACACAGCTAGTAAATGTCAAGTATCTGAGGTTGGATTTGAACTCAGGTCCTCCTGACTCCAAGGACAGAGGTCTATCCACTGTACCACCTAGCTGCCCCTATCACTACTATTTATCACACAACTACTAATAAGTGTCAAGTCTCTGAGGCCAGATTTGAATTCATGTCCTCCTGGCTCCAGGGACAATGCTCTATATATATTAATTGAGTTTTTAAAAATAATTAGCATAATTAGAAAAAATTTGAAAGGTGAGATTTTTTTTTATTCAACAAAGGTTTTAGTTGTAATAAAAGATTCTGGAGTTGGAGTTAATTTTTTTTTTAATAATTTTACCTGTTTTATTTTTTTGTTTGTTTTTGTTTTTGTTTTTGTTGTTTAGCAAAGCTCCAAGTTTATTCACAGGGTATTATAGCCAGGCTCAGCATTAACCAGATGGGAAAATTTCCTGTTTAGAAAGGAAATTGCACAATGGGGAAACTGAGTCAAGAGGATCCTCCCTTTGTCCATGCTAAAGTTATCCCCTCAGCTTTCCCTAGGGACAGATGTCCACCTGTAGCAGTTCACAGACTGCAGCAAAGGACATTTCCCTTGGATGGTGGATTTAATACTGGTGGTTTAATAATAACTAATCAACCATACCTGAAATCAAATTCAGAATAACATCAAATTATAAGTCCAAGAGATAATGCCTCAAATAGCAAAATTTCACTAATTACAGTTTAGGGCTAGGAAATTATTGTAATAATAGTTCACAGTGTGCATATATAAAGACATTTCATTTCTCCTTCATATACAAATTAAGAATAATCACATTCTGAACACATATAGTGAATATCTGATAATTGACTTAAAACCCCAGAAAAATGCCATTACCATGAATCACCAAACTAACAGGTAATGCCTATGAAGCTCTGAGGCAAAATAAAATCTCTGAATCTAAAATATATTGTTACCAAATTGATTCAAAGATGTAATTCCAATTCATGATAATTTTATTAACATGGACATTTTCATAAGTGATAACTGAATATCCCTTCCCCTAATCTGCCCTCCCTTCTATCTCTCCCTCCCTTCTCTTATCCCCTTCCCCTTCTATTTTTCTGCAGAGAAGGATAGATTTCTATATCCCATTGCCTGTATATCTTATTTCCCAGTTGCATGTGAAAACAATTTGTAACATTTGTTTTTAAAACTTTAGGTTCCAAATTTTCTCCCTTCTTCTCTCCCCACCCACCCTCATTGAGAAGGCAAGCAACTTGACACACGTTATACTTGTGTAGTCATGCAAAACACTTTCAGAGTAGTCATGTTGTAGAATACTAACTAGATTTCCCTTCATCCTACCTCACCCCACTCTATTTATTCTATTCTCTTTTGACCCTGTCCCTCCTAAGAAGTATTTGTTTGCCTCTGATTATAATCTCCTCCAATCCGCCCTCCCCTTTATCATCCCCCTACTCTCTTGTCCCCTTACCCCCTTATTTTCCTGTAGGGTAAGATAGATTTCCATACTCAATTGAGTGTATATGTTATTCCCTCTTTAAGGCAAATGTTATGAGAATAAGATTCACTCATTCCCTCTCACCTTCCCCCAATTCCCCGGCACTGTAAAAGCTTTTTCTTGCCTCTTTTATATGCGATAATTTACCCCATTCTACCTCTCCCTTTCTCCTTCTCCCAGTATAATCCTCTCTCACCCCTTAATTTTATTCTCCAGATATCACCCCTTCATCTTCAATTCACCCTATGCCCTCTATCTATCTATATATGTATCTATCTATCTATCTATCTCTATATATATACATATAATTTTTTCCCTCCAACAACCCTAATACTGACAAAGGTCTTATGATTTGCAAATATCATCTTTCCATGTAGGAATGTAAACAGTTCAACCTCAGTAAGTTCCTTATGATTTCTCTTTCCTGTTTACCTCTTTATGCTTCTCTTGAGTATTGTATTTGAAAGTTGAATTTTCTATTCATCTCTGATCTTTCCATCAAGAATGCTTGAAAGTCTTCTATTTCACTGAATGTCCATTTTTTGCCCTAAAGAACTATACTCCATTTTGCTGGGTAGGTGATTTTTGGTTTCTATCCTATCTCCTTTGACCTCTAGAATATCATATTCCAAGGCCTCCAATCCCTTAATGTAGAAGCCACTAATGCTTGGGTTATCCTGATTGTGGTTCCACAATACTTGAATTGTTTCTCTCTCAATTCTTGCAATATTTCTTCCTTGGCCTGGGAACTCTGGAATTTGGCTACAATAGCCAAATTTCCTTTGGGGATCTCTTTCAGGAGGTGATTGGTGGATTCTTTCAATTTCTGTTTTACCCTCTGGTTCTAGAATATCAGGGCAGTTTTCCTTGATAATTTCTTGAAAGATGATGTCTAGGCTGTTTTTCTGATCATGGCTTTCAGATAGTCCAATAATTTTTAAATTGTCTCTCCTGGATCTATTTTCCAGGTCAGTTGTTTTTCCAGTGAGATATTTCACATTGTCTTCTATTTTTTCACTCTTTTGGTTTTGTTTTACAGTGTCTTGATCTCTCATAAAGTCACTAGCTTCCAATTGCTCCATTCTAATTTTTAAGGAAGTATTTTGTTCAGTGAGCTTTTGGACTTCCTTTTCCATTTGGCCAATTTTGCTTTTTAAGGCATTCTTCTCCTCATTGGCTTTTTGTACCTCTTTTGCCATTTGGGTAAGGCTATTTTTTAAGGTGTTAATTTCTTCAATATTTTTGGGTGGTCTTTAGCAAGCTGTTGATTTGTTTTTCATGATTTTCTTGCATCACTCTCTTTTCTCATCACAGTTTTTCCTCTACTTCTCTTACTTGCTTCTCAAAATCCTTTTTGAGCTCTTCCACGACCTGGGACTGATTTATATTTTTCTTGGAGGCTTTGGATATAGGAGCTTTGACTTTGTTGTCTTCTTCTGGTTGTATGTATTGATCTTCTTTGTCACCAAAGAAAGATTCTGTGGTTTGACATTTTTTGCAGGGCCAGGCCAGGACTGGGGCCAGGACCAGGCTTGTCTCTCACCATGGTCACACACCTTTCCTACTGTCCTTCTAAGTTGTCTTTGCTGTTTGTAGGTTAAGAAGTCTGGAAACCGCCATAGCTGCCCGTGATTCAATCCCCAGAGGGCTGCTCCAGATTCGCTGAGGCCTGGTCTTAGCCTGCCTGGCCTATGTTGAACTGTGTTCTTCTTCCAGCCAGGCACAATAGGCCTTTCCAGTCAACCATCCAGGTTGCCTTGGGCTGAAAATGTTTCACTCTATCTTTTTGTGGGTTCTGCTGCTCTAGAATTTATTTAGAGCCATTTTTAACAGGTATTTGGAGAGGTTTGGGGGAGAGCTCAATCAAGTCACTGCTTTTACTCTGCCATCTTGGCTCTGCCCTATACCTGTTGTTTTTATAATGATCCTAATTCATTAGGATAAGAACTAGTGAATTAACATCCAATAGAAATAGGGTTGTTGTTTTTTAAGTTCAAATTTAATTCAGCTTACCTTGATAATTAGTACCTTCAAAGTTAGAATCTATTTATAGAAAATCAGAATTGCTCTCTGAATCACTGACTCAAATTAAAATGTAACCTAAAAGAATGTGGTAACAAACATCCTATAATTTTCAGTATAGAGTTGGGCAAGGTTTTTTTTTTTTTTTTTTTGTTAACTTCATTCTTTGTTTTCCATCTGGTTTAGACACAAGCAGCATCCCGAGACAACTTAGAACAATTAAGAGAAAATAACAATGCTTCAATAAGAAACCAAATGGAGCAACGAATTAGAGATCTGGAAACTGAAATCTCCAAAATGAAAAACTCACATCAAGACTCAACTGAGGCAGAAATAGAGAGATACAGACAGCTTTATTCTGAAGAATTAAAAATCAGAAAATCATTGTCAAACAAAGTAGACAGGTAAGCCCAAACACAGACACTAAGAAAATAGTACTTATACTTATCAGATTGCTTTTAAAGTTTTCCATTTTGAATTTAACAAATCTTTAATGGACTGATCTATGACTTCATTGGGAAATGGGGGCTAACTGTAGAGATTATACTTTTATACATATTGGTATACATAGTTTTTAAAATGTTAACTATGTACCAAGGAATGCAGTGTGGTACATTGGAAAGATGGTATTCTGGCTGTAGAGTCAGAGGACCTGGCTTCAAATCTTGCCTCTGATGATAACTGCTGTATGACCTTGAGCAAGTCATTTAACCTCCCAGGACTTCAGTTTCCTTATCTTTAAAATGAGGATGTTTGATTAGGTGGCTTCTGAGATCTCTTTTAGTCCTCAATTTATGATGTTATGAAAATTATTTTTAAGTATGTCTTATTGATGTGTCATATTATTTCTTTTTACTATCTGCTATAGATTACTCCTTCCAGGATGAAGTTAAATATTTTGAAAATTAGAATAACATTATTCTCATTTCACCAAATGATAATATTAAAAGGTTTAATGTATTTCTGAAAATGTGTGACAGAATCATATCAATATATAACCCATTGTAAATAATCTTCTAATGGTGACAGCCAGGACTGAAGGACTTGGGGCCATCCTGGTGACCCACAGCAATGTCTAACCATTCCCCTCAATTTCCTGCTGCCCCACCCCATCAGTTTTCTATTCAGGTGAAAGCTCACTGAGGGAGCTATTGAAGGGGAAAAGAAAGAAAGGAAATATTACAGAAAGGTTTAGATTAGGGGCTTGGATAGCCGAAAGATATTATACTAAAGAAAAAGGGATGGGGCAGTTTTGCTTTGCTATATATCTTGGTGACAATGGTGGGTAGGTATTATGGGTTGGCTGTACAGTTGAGAGCCTCTGGACTTTTTTTAGCCTCAACTGAGCTAGAGACTGCATCCCTGAATCATTTGGCTGCTACCTAGGTAAGACTGCAAAAGCACTGCCTGGCATAATTACCCAGATTTGATACCCTTAAAACAACTCTACTAATTTCTGATATAAATTTATAGAATACAAGTCCTTTTAATGACTTCCTTAAAGATCAGATTAGTAAAGAATCCCAGATTTACAAGTATCTTTTGTGTTTTGGTTTGGTTTGTTTTTAATTTTCCCAGGACAGTCTGAAAACCTTTTCCTTTAAAGGTTACACTCAATTTCTTTATACCATTTATTGGGAAAGTACCTTAATGGAAGTAATTCAATTATGCAAAAACTTTAATAACCTACATACTTTAATTGTTTTTGGAGTTAGAAACTACTCAGGGAAAAGTCACAATTATGATAACATTAATGAAAAATAACCATTTAAGAAAAATGCTAACCATTTATGTGCTTTGAAATGTTCACAGAACTACTGAAAGGCTAGCTGAGATGAGTCACCGACTCCTGAATGAAAAACAAAAGAATAAAATTTTAATCAACAGTTTTACTGCAAGTCCAGTTCTGGAGCCACCACATGTTGGGAATATTAATACCAGTATGTTCCTCAGTAGAAGTCTTATTCCAAGAGGAAATTTAGTATATTCTACTGGAAACATAGTGTCTTCAAAAAGCAGAGTGGAAGCCTACATGACAAAGGTTAGTCATTTAGAATTTTTTTTTCTTTCTGTATGTTAAAGGTATAATTAAAATTTTCATCATAGTGAAATTTCCTACTTAAGTATTTTTGAATGTGTCATATTGATTTTTGCAGCCTATTAAAATGAAGATGGTCCTTTTACCTAATGATAATTAAAAATGCTAGATAATGAGTTTTATAATTTTTTTAATTTTTAAAATTTATTTTTATTTTATCTTTAGTTTTCAACATTCACTTTTATAAGATTTTGAGTTCTAAATTTCCCACCCTTTCCTCTTTCCAAGATGGCATGCAATATGATATAGGCTATACATGTATAATCATATTAAACACATTAACACATTAGTCATGTTGTGAAAGAAGAATCAGAACAGAAGGGAAAAACCACGAGAAGGAAAAAAAAGAGAGAAAACAGTATGCTTTGATCTACATCCAGACTGCATAGTTCTTTCTCTGAATATGGATAGCATTTTCCTTCATGAGACTATTCAACTTGTCTTAGATCATTGCATTGCTTAGAAGAACTGAGTCTAACAAAGTTGGTCATTGCGTAATGTTGCTTTCATTGTGTGTAATGTTTTCCTGGTTCTACTCACTTCACTCAACATCAGTTTATGCAAGTCTTGCCAGGTTTTTCTGAAATCCACCTGCTCACCATTTCTTATGGAACAATAGTATTCCATTACATTCATATACCACAACTTGTTTAATGATTCCCCAATTGATGGGCATCCCCTCAATTTCCAATTCTTGGCCACCACAAAAAGAGCTGCTATAAATATTTTTGTACGTATAGGTCCTTTCCCGGTTTTATAATTTCTTTGTGATACAGACCTAGTAGTGGTATTGCTCAGTCAAAGGATATGCACAGTTTTGTAGCCTTTTGGGCATAATTCCAAATTGCTCTGCATAATGGTTGGATCAGTTCACAACTCCCCCAACAATGCATTACTGTTCCACTTTTCCCACATCTTCTCCAACATTTATCATTTTCCGTTTTGTCATGTTTGTCAAACCTGATAGGTATGATGTGGTACCTCAGAGTTGTTTTGATTTGCATTTCTCTAATCCATAGCATTTTTTCATATGACTACAGATAGCTTTAATTTCTTCCTCTGAAAACTGCCTGTTCATATCCTTTGATCATTTATCAATTGGGGAATAACTTATATTCTTATAGATTTGACTCAGTTCTTTATATATTTTAGATATGAGGCCTTTATCAGAGACACTGGTTATAAAAGTTGTTTCTCACCTTTCTGCTTTCCTTCTAATCTTGGTTGCATTGGCTTTGTTTGTGTAAAAACCTTTTAATTTAATGTAATCAAAATTACGCATTTTACATTTCATAATGTCCTCTATCTCTTCTTTTGTCATAAATTCTTTCATTCTCCATATATCTAACAGGTAAAACTATCCCTTGCTCTCCTAATTTGCTTATAGTAATAGCCTTTATTTCTAAATCATGTACCCATTTTGACTTTATCTTAGTATACGTGTAAGATATTGGTCTATGCCTTTAATGTAGAAGCTGCGAAGTCTAAAGTATCATTAAATAATACTTAAATTGTTTGTCTCTGGCTGTTTTAAGCATTTATCTTTGACCTGATAATTCTGGAATTTGGCTACAATATTCCCTTGGAGCTTTCATTTTGGGATCTCTTTCAGGAAGTGATCGGTGGATTCTTTCAATGACGTTTTGCCCTCTGGTTTTCCTCAGGGCAGTTTTCCTTGTTAATTTCTGGAAAGGTGCCATCTAGGCTCTTTTTTTTTTTAATCATAGCTTTCAGATAGTCCAATAATTCTTAAGTTATCTCTCCTGGATCTATTTTCCAAGTCAGTTGTGTTTTTCCAATAAGGTATTTTGCATTTTCTTCTATTTTTTCATTCTTGTCATTTTATTTGACTGATTCTTGATGTCTCATAGAGTCATTAGCTTCCACTTGCCCAATTCTAATTTTTAAGAAATTATTTTCTTCAGGTGGCTTTTGTACTTCCTTTTCCATTTGGCCAGTTTTACTTTTTAAGGAGTTGTTTTCTTCAGTTAATTTTTGTCCTTCCTTTTCCAAGCTATTGACTCTCTCTTGCATACCTCTCACTTCTTTTCCCAATTTTTCTTCTACCTCTCTTATTTTACTTTTAAAATCCTTATGAGCTCTTCTAAGAAGGCTTTTTAAGGTTTAGACTAATTTATATTTCCCTTTGGGGTTTCAGATGTAGGTTTTCTCTTCTAAGTTTGTATTTTGATCTTCCCTGTCACCATAAAAGCTCTCTTTGGTCAAGGTTCTTTTTTGCTTTTTGTTTATCTTGTTTGCCTATTTCCTGGCTTTTTAAGTTGAGCTCTCCTGCTGGAAAACATAGGAGGCACTCTCTCAAGCTTCTTGTGCTGGGGGCCAGGGGCCTGATCACTAGCTTTGTTCCATGAGGCCTCAGGTGCTGACCACTGGTGACTAGAGGGCTCTGGCAGCTTCCTTGATCCTGAGCTGGGGTCCTAGTGGTGGTGTCTGGCATGCGCTGAGACTGGGTAGGGTTTTTCTGCCTTTCCCCAGGCTATGCTGCAGCATGGGGAAGTCCACTGCTTGGGAGGTCTGCTGCTGGAGGTGATCTGCCTGCCCAGAGCTGAGCTGAAGCGCAGGGAGGTCCTGCTGATTGAAGACGCCTGCCTGCTCAGAATGGTTCTCTGACCTGGAGTCTGCTAGTTACCCTGGCTGTGCTGAAGCACGTAACTGGTCCAAAGGTTGGCATTTACCTACTACACTGCTCTGGGGCTCAGGATCTCCCACTGGGATGCTGAAGTGGAGCCTGCTGCAGGCTTGCTGAGATGCCTCCTGTCCTGGACTGTACTCCCCTTTTACATGAGTGATATGGACCTTTTTTGGATTTTTTTAAAAATACTACTAAAGTGCTGTCAAAAATGTATATATTGAATGAATTAATCAGTCAATTGATAAAGATGAAAGGATTAAGCTTTATGGGTCTATCTTATAAACATCTGGGTGATATTGACATGATAAAGAAAAATGAACGTTAATTAATGTCTTCCCTATGAAGCATTTAATTAAAATGTTCATTTTAACAAAAAATTGTTTTCAATTTTGAGGGAAGTATTCCGTGTGGAAATCTCCTTGTCGACTCTCAGTTGACCAATTCATTTTACCAGTACAGACACAGGCATTATAGTCACTCTTTCCCTTTGAGAATCAGCTCACCTTCACTACTTTTCTTTTGTTTCACTGAATCTTTTGGTGTAAGATCTATAAATGTGTTCTTACTTCTTCAGCTCCTTGATCACCAAATCTGTTTCTAGTTTCTCTTCTCTGCAGTAAGATCCCTGAAAAGGTGTGTAGTCAACTTTGCTCAATGTTCTTATTGGCTCTCTGTTTGTGGCTTGGACCACTTTGGTCATTTATGTGACCACTTATGTCACTTATAACTTGATGTTTATTTTTATAGCTTTTTAAAAACAAGTCTGTATTCAGACTGCACTCATTCCCAAATATCATCCCCAAAGCAGTAACCAATCAGTTCCAGTCTTTTTAATAAATTTCATTTCTTGTATGGTTTTTGGTGGGTTTTTGTTGTTGTTGTTTGGGTTTTTTTTAGTCCTTACTTTTTAACTCCTTGGGAAGAAAATATTCAGGAGAGACATACGGGCAGACATAGATTCTAAGTAATCTTAAAAGCCTTTGTCCTTTTTTACTCAAACATGGGCTATGTTTTCCAGCATACTTTCTGCAATCCCCTCCTCTTCCCATCTTTGTTTTGAAGCATCAAAATAAGTTTTGACTTGGTTAAGAAATGCTTTGTTTCTCATAGATTGTCTCTACTTTGTTCTCTTCAACAGATGTTGACTACAATTATCTTCTTGGTGGTCTTTTCATAGATACTTATCATAAACATTGCGACATGTGATGTCCAGATAACATTGGAACTACGGTTCTTGTTGCTTTTGGGTACATAGTAAAACCAACTGTGATCCATCTTTCTAAGCCATCCTTCAGTTTAACTACAACTTTGTTTTGTCTGCTTGCTTATTTCAGTCATATCAATATGGATGTCATAGATTTCTTCCAATAGTATGGCACTTTATTGGTCATCTGACATTTATATTACTAACAGTTAAATTAATGTTTGTAAAATGATTAAAACTGTAATTGATTCTTAGCATCATCTCTTTTTTTGGAGGAGAGGTGTCATTTAGGAGGACTAAAAGCCATTTATACTTTTTCTTTGTTTCATGAGGTAGCTTAAGAATTAATTACCACCTGTCAGTGGTCAATGTACTGACAAGGGGCCCCATGTACTTAACTCAGTTGGTCATTCTTTGCCATTCATTTATTAAACAAACATTTATTACGCACCTGTTCTATACCAGGCACTGTACTCACATTGGGGAGAAATAAGGACAAAACAGTGCCTACCCTGGAAGAGCTTTCATTCCATTGTGGTTAAAAATAAACAAAAAAAAAACATACCTATATAAATCTTAGTAGATAAGAAGCCTATACAAGTACCTACAAAGTAATTTGGTTGTACACGGCAGGGCTTAGCAACTAGGACTATCAAGATAGGACTTGTATACATTTGAACTAAACCTTCAAAGGACACTAGGGATTCTGAAAGACCCAGGTAAGGTGGGATTACATTCCTGACATGGGTGAAAGCCTTTGTAAAAACCTGGAGACACGAGGTGGAATATCTTTTATAAGGAACAGAGATAGGCCAGTTTGTTTGGAACTTAAGAGTGTGTGTGAAAGGAAGTAATATACAAGCTAGAAAATATATGCTAACCAAATTAAGAGGAAATTAAATGCCCCACAGCAACATTAGTCTTTTTCCAGAATACTTGAAGCTTTCTGATTATGGTAGAGCCTGGCAGATACTGTGCTCCATGGGCATAAGCTTTCAAGATCCCAGAGTCGACTCCATGTCACAGTGAGGCCTCAGAGAAGTACTTCTGCTAACAGGTTGGAAAAATTAGCCATCTCATGAACAGACA